CTGGGGACAATGTGCCTTCCAAGGCTGAGGGCGCAGGAGGAACAGGGATGTAGCGGAAGGGCAGAGCTGGTAGGAGGCCCCTGCAGAGCATTCGAAGGGGGCATCCTGCAGGCCTGCTGTGAGGCACTGGGAGATAGCGGCTGGAGATGCAAGGCTTGCACCTAGCAAGCCTGAATCCTATGTCCAGGGGGTCTGCACATGGACTCAGGGCCAGGCCTGCTCTGTAGAAGGCTTTGCTTTGCCTCAGCTTCCTCATTTGTGAGATGGGGGTAAGGTTCATCTCTACCCAGCCAGGTAGTCCAGGAGCTGGGCCAGGCCTGCTCAGACCCACAGTGTCATGTGTTTGTGTCCACACCCCCCCACATCACACCCATATTGCACATACATACGCATATACATGCAAACTCATGTTGCACACACATGCCTGCACACATACAGAGATCCACGTTGCACACAAATATGTGCACACATACACACAGACCCTCAATTGCACACATACCCATGTCTCAGCCCCCATAACTGTCCTCAAAGTGAAGCAGTTGCCCAAAGTAAAAAAAAAAAAAAAAGCATTTAAATGGACCCAGATAGCTGCACAGGTTCAGACAGGAAACTCAGGTGTTTTGGGTAGCACTATAGTCAGCTGGGAGTGCCCACCCCAGCATTGGCCTTTCCACTCAGTGCCGGGCAGGGCCCCAGACAGCTGCACTGAGTTCTGCTGTTTCCAAGAGCTGCATCAGCACCAGGAAACAGGCTCACAGAGCTGAGACATGGAAAGTGAGGGCACACAGACCAAGGGTTGCAAAGGGGCAAGGGCAGGGTGGAAGTGGGAGGGTCTCAGGTCATCGCTGCCTCCAGGGTGGGCAAGGCATTAAAAAGGGCAGTGCCATGCTAGAGGCTACACCTGCTGTCTTGGTGTCCCCTGACCCTACAGGACCCCGGTCCTGGTCAGTCCCTGGGAAAAGAAAAAGGCCACACAATGGGGATAGGGATCCCCACAGGAGGCTGGTGTCTGCCTGGGCTCTCCAGCCACCAATGTGGCTGTTCCTGTTCTCCCAACCTTCTGGCAGCCAGTCTCTTGGGGCTCTCAGCCTCCTGGTGAAGGGTAGGGATGAAAGCCATCTCTCCAGGGAGCTTAGCTCAAGGTGAGAATCCTGGGTCTTGATGCCCAGTGCTCACTCTCTCCTCCTAGCAGGCACTCAACTGTTTTTCTGGGCTTTCTCTCCCTTTCCTACTCTCAGACCATGATGCAAGGATTGCCCTTCTGGAAGCCTGAGTGAGCACAGAATTCGGGACTGATTAATCCCATCACAGCGTCTCCATAGTGCATACCCTGAGTGAGGCTGAGCACACGTCCCCACACCTGCCCCCAGGACTGCCAGACTGCGAGGTGCTGGACACGCCCGAGCCTGGGGCTGCTTGTGGCCTCTGTCAAAGAAGGGACGCAATAGCAGAAGCAGCAGAGCCAAAAGGTGGAGAGACAGTGACACAGCCAGAGCCCTTGATCCAGCTACACCTGAAGTGAACCCCAACTTTGCACTTTTTAAAAACTTGACTCTCGAAGTTATTTCCTTTCTTTCCCTTCTCTTCTTTCTTCTCTCCCTTCTTTTTCTTGTGCTCTTCCTCTTTCTTTTGTCCTTTGCAGCATTACTGACAAAACCAGTAATGTAAATTCAGGAACCAGTGGCAAAAGTAGGTGGATTCATTTCCTGAGTGACCCCTCAGCTTAGATCTTACCCACCCCCAGAGCCAAGAGCCAGGCCCTGCTGCCTCCCCAGCCCTACATACTCTAGCCTCCAGAGGATCCTGACTGAGGGCATTTCTGACAAAAATACCACCCCTCCTTGGGAAAAGTTCCAGCTTGACACCCACCCCTCAAGGGAAAAAAGAGCAGAGAGACACACAGAGAAATTCCTAAATCAGCTTCTGGGGTTTTATTCAAAACAACGCTGGCAGCGGCTGTCGAGTGGTTTCTCTATGCCTGGACCTTCCGGCATAGCCAGCAGGGACCAGCGCCATCAGCAGCTAGGAAGGAAATTCATTCGCATCATAGAAACTGTACAGTGGCTGGGAGTGCTATAGTCACAGGAGCAGAGCCTGGCCAGGGACTTCCTGAAGGAGGTGGCCTCTGCCTCCTCCCCAGGCCCCAGCTTGGCCCTGGCTCTGCCAGGAACACTGATTATTGCACAAAGACAAAAAGAGTATGTGTGTCTGGGCTAAACAGCGGCTTCTAAGACCCCAAGCCCTTACACAGCGCAGCAAAGGGGGCTGGAGAGGTGGCCCTGGAAGCAGTGGGCCCCGGGGAGCGTTGAGGGTGGGGAAGAGACAGGCAGACAAGCTGATACTGGGCTTGATTTGTTCTCCTCCAAGGGGCTGCCTTGGTCAGAAAGCAGGTGCAGAGGTGAGGAAGAGGCCAGGGAGACTACCACCCTATCTGGCCTCATGCCCCTCTCTGCAAATGTCCCGGTGTCCGCCAGCCTCCATTCACAGAGCCCTGCAAACAAACTAGAGTGTTGGCACCTGGTCCCCATTCTCCTCACAGCCAGGCCCATGTGGACTGGGGAAGTTTGTGCTTTGGTGATGGAAATGCATGGACTGAGGCCACAGCCCCAGGCCACAGGGTTAAGGAGAGGGAGGGACAATTTGCCCACCCTTACCCATTGTGACTCATCCTGGCCAGCGACTCACAGCTTCCCTAGTCCCTGGTCACCCACGGGAACAAGAGAAAAATGCCCGGGATAAGCATTTGGGGCCCTCAGGAAACATGCAAAGCTTCTCTGCTTGCTCTTCCTGCCTTCTTTGTACACTTGCTCTGTCTGACCACGCCTATGTGCAGGCCTGTGCCTTTACCCAGATGGTTCTCCCCAATTTGTCTCCCCAGTTTCTGGAATCACACAGTTCAGGGTAAACATACAGAGACACACCTGGACATGATCTCTGCTTAGCTACTCACAGCAAGGTGACACAGGCCACCCTGCAGATTAAACAAGATGATGGATGCTGGACCCAGAAAATGAAGGCTGCCGGACAGCACCAGAGACAATCTCCAGGAAGCCCAAAGGGCTCAGGCCAGCCCAGCCCTGGTTGCCAAACTGGCTGACTGTACACTGGGTCTTCTGAGTCACCCTCCTTTCGAACAAGTGCCCTTGTGCATAGTCCAGGTGTTCAGACTCTGGCTTCACAAGTGCCTCAGCTTCTTTGCTGCCAGAGCCCTGAGGGATGCTGGGTGGCTGCTTCACTTCCCAGTTTCCCCAGGTTTAGAGTGGGTCTGTTAACATTTGCCTGCCCCTCACCACCTCAGCACTAAGGAACACGGCTTTGCACCCAATGACACCCATACCATTCACTTTCTCCTCACTCCACCACACTGCCCAACCCAAGGGCACTTTGCCAGCCAAGAAGACCCCAGTCTATCCACAAAGCCAACGGCTCACCACCCAAGTTCTGGGAAGTCAAGGTTCAGGGTAAGAACCAAGGCAACACTTGGAGGAGAGCGAAGGTGAAGACTCTGGTGATTGCTGAAGTCTGGCGTTTCCCATGCTCCCCACCCTTCTGCTGTATCTGTGGACCACTGCTACCAACATGCCTCAATCTTCTTTCAACTGACTTTAAATCCAGCCACACTTTAAACTTGGGCTGGACCTAAGCAGTATGCCTGTGAAGTCATGGGTTCAATGCATTACATTTTTCTAATAAATACTGAAATAAATGTGTAACTATTCAAATTTTTAAGGACACCTGTCCTGAACCTGTTTGGGAAACACTGCTACAGGAAAACCTGTGACCTGCAGTTTAGGGACTGTGAGACAGAGACTCAGGCAGACAGGGAATGGGAGGATGTGGGTCTCCAGGTGAGGAGACCTGGAGCTGGAGGCTGGAGGCTGGCAGAGCTGGGGTAAAGAGGCTGGTCCTAGGGCTGGGTAGCTGCTTATAATACCCCTGCTGAATATCCTGTTGATCTGCCACACCCCTTAAGTGCACTGGGGCAGAGGCAGAGTGGTTCAGGATGGGGCAACCACCATCCCTAGGAATGACTGCAGCTCAGGACCCACACTCAGGGTAAAAGAAGTAAGTCCCCATACAAATGACTTTCAGAGCCCAGGTGCACCTGCGTGGACCAGGACAGCACCCGTGACCCTGGGAGTACACCATGCCTGGTCCAATCTCCCTTCTGTCCCCTCTCCTCCTATTCCTACTTGTGGTCTTTCTGGGGGGGACAACACTCCCCCAATACTCACTGAGGTCAAGACTTCTCCTGGTGCCAGAACTCATACCCAGTCTTGAAGCTGCTCTCTCCCAGCCCCTGTTCTAAGAATACAATTACTCACCCCTGATTTTTCTAAAGAAAACATCTAACTGGTTAACTAAGAGAGTCTGTGTGCTCTGGCGTGTCTACAAAAGACTTCACAACAAACGAGACGGTTCAGAGGGACAAGACAGACACCCCAACACATGGGTGGCGGTGGGGGACATTAGCAGCGTCTCTTCTTTAAAGGGGAAAAAAAAATGTGCACCCTGAATTGCACCTCTTCTCCTGGGCCTGTCTCCGGGCCACCGGCCTCTGAGCCCTGTGCATCCTCTAAAACTCCTCACAACCCTGGGAGACACCCCCAAACTGCAGCTGGCATGAGTATCTGCCCTGGGCAGGCTTGGGTGCTAAGCAGCAAAGGCCCTGGCCTGCACCCCCAACGTTAGCACTTTCTGGAAGTCATAAGCTCTCAGTAAAAAAAATAAATAAATATATGTGTCTGTCTCTCTCTCTGCACATATGTAGGTATATGCACTGGAAGGACCACCACCCTGACCACGGGGCCTCGCCTGGGCCTCGGCTAACCCAGCCCCTCCTCCATCCCCGGCTCAGCGGGCTGGCTGGCGGGCCCCGCTCGCTCCCAGGTGTGGACAAAGTATTGCTGTCTGCTCCCTGGCTCCTGAGGTAAAAGAAGGTGCGACGGGGCGGGCGGACGGACAGCGGGCGTCCTGCGGTCCGCGGCCCCTGCGGCCCCTCATCTCTTCCTCTTGCTCGCGGCGTCGGCCGACTCCAGCTCCCCGGGGGGCGGCTGCGGCTCGGGCGAGGCGGGCGGGGCCTGGCCGGCCGGGTCCTTGCTGCGGTCCGCGGCCCACGAGGGGCTCCGGGCCAGGCCGCGCGTCGGGGCGGCGATGGCGCGCAGGCGGCCGGGCCCCGCGGCCAGGCTGCTGGTGCTGCTGAACTTCCGGGCGGGCGGGAGGCCGGCGGCGGCGGCGCGGGCGGCGGGCAGAAGAGCGACGTGAGCGACAGGCTGCTGAGCGTCTCCGAGTGCTCGCTGCCCGCGCCGCCGCCCGCGCCGCCGCGGCCCTCCTCGTCCGAGGGGTCCATGGAGTCGTGGTGCGTGCAGCCCGGGCTGGTGGAGCCCCCGCTGCTGTGGCTGCGCTGGTGCGCGCGCAGCCCGCGCAGGCTGAACAGGCCGCGGCCCCGCAGGCTCAGGCGGCGCCGCGCCGACGGCGACAGGCCCGCGCGGGGACCCGGCCCCCGCCCCGGCGGCCCCAGGGCGCGCCGCGGACTGTCGCTCAGGGTCAGGCTGTCCTCCAGCGTGGTCTGCAGGCTGCCCGCCGAGCTGCTGGGGCTGGCGTCCAGCGACGTGTCACTCACGGTGGCCTGTGGGGAGGGAAAAGGGAATAGGGCCACCTGAGTGCCCTCCAGCACACACACACCACGCTCTTTCCCAGCTCCCTGGTGACCGGTCTCCCTGGGCACCAAACTTCCAGGCTTCCACTGCTCAGAAACTAGAGTCTCAGGGCCTTCCTTCTGCTGCATCTGAGCTTGGGGGATCTGGTGGCAGTCACCACAGAGGCCTCAGGCTCCCTGTCCCTCAGCCCCTCCCTCTGGACAGTCCCTCCTTGGGGATCCCCCAATCCCCACTGGCATGGTCCCTCCTGGGCCTGTGCCCTGGCTGCCCCCAGTCCTTGTCTTAGGAAACCTCCCAGCTTCCTGTGCCAGGTACCATCCCCACCACCAGCACATGTCGGCTACCCAACAGACCATACTTCCTAGGCATTGCTTGAGTTTATCATTTCTCCTCCACCCCAGCCCTGCACATTCTAAACACTGAATTGTCATCCCTGGGAGGCAGGGAATTTGTAATCTTGCTTAGGGAGTAGCACACAGCCCAACACAGAGCTTGGGGGTCAGCCATCTCTGAGTGAATGAATGAATGATAGCAAGAGCACCTGCCAGCCTTGTCCCCACCACTGCATGGGATCGGGAGCAGCCCCCTTCTCACAACCCACAGAAAAGAGCTGCGTGACAGCAGAGCCTTTGCTCTGTGCTCCGTGCCCTCTGTGCCCAGGTGGTTTAAGGGCTGTGGCCAACCAACCCAATAGAGGGGACCCTGCAGCTGACATCTCCTTCCTGTCCCCAGATCTACCCCTCTACACATCTCTAGTAATCAAGCCCCCACCACACCCACCCAGAGTGTCCAAGGCATCCTCCCCAACCCCCAGCACCATGTCACCTGGCAACATCCTCCAGGTGTCCCGTCCGTCTTTCCTCCCTCAAGCTGGTGCCCATCGACCTCTCCAGGCTCCCACCATCTGGGTCCCCCTCTCTGTGCCTACAGGGACCTGAGCTGCTGACGCTGGTCCTGCTCATCTTATCAGCCCCTGGTGCCACCTCCCCCAAGTTCCAACACTCCCCCACACAACTTCCCAAACTCCCCCTGCACAGTTGTGCCCTACACCTTTGGTAGGGCCCTTCCCCTTCCCAACTTGGCCTTCAGACATGACTAATGCCCCATGAGGACCTCTCTGCAGAGCCCAGGAGGTACCCATACCTGCCGGAGGAGGGTGCAGTTGACACTTGGTGACCTCAGAGATGCCCAGGAGCCCTGCAGGGCGATCTTGGGAAGGTTCCCTGCGCCCATGCCCTTCTCCTGCCCTTTCTGGCTGGCAGACACAGCAGGGTGGAAGAACTCAGCGGGCATGGGCAGGAGGGGGCTGGAGGCATCGGGGGAGAAGGGACTTGAGGATGCTGCAGGGAGAAGGAGACAGAGCTGGGGTGGGCTTAGGTGAGCACATCCGTGGAGGGAGGCCACTAAGCGTGCCTGACACACGGGCTGTTAGCCTCAGTTTTCCCACCATGAGAGCAAGAGAAAAATACTGAGGCAGCTAGTGTGATTCCTGGAAGGACAGGCGCTGAGCCAAAGCACTATTTTCATAGTCAAGCAGATGGGGCTCAGGGACTACCCTCTGGGTCTCTTTCTCTGGAAAGGGACAGATGTCCACTCCAAGGGGAGGAGAGAAGGCTGCGAGAATAAGAAGTTACAGAGCTCCTAGCCCAGTACCAGGTATACTAGGATTAGTCATCCCTCAGGCCCTGACATTCCACGGGGCCTGCCCAGGCCTGGAGACACCTCTAAGGAGGTAGGGAAGAGTAGGGTCCTGCACTGGTTGGGCAAAGCTGACTGAAGCTGCCAGTTAGGCCTGGTTAGCTCCATGGAGACAGAGAAGGGAAGGATGAGGCCAGGGCAGAGCTTGGGGCTGCTGGGGAAGGGCCAGCAGCAGCCTCTGCCACGGTTCCTTCTGCACCTTGTAGGATGAGAACGGGACATGAGGTTGGGGACCTGTAAGTAGGTATTCCGGATGGGTGTTGGGGTCGGAGATTCTATTCCGTGTTGCCTTGGTATTGAAGGAGAACGTAAATAAATGGTTAACTAAAGGATACAGGATTCCACTGACCAGAGTGGCTCTGGGGTCACACCCTGTGCCTAGTCTTTGGATTCAGGAAGTCTGGGGTCTTGGCACTTCAGTCACCATGTCCAGCAGAGAGGCAGTGGCTCTAGGGACAGTCTTTGGAAAAGCCATCCCACCCTAGCTCCTGGGAGCGAATGTCTCAGAAGAGTACCTGAGGTGGGCTTGGCGACTTGGGGGTCCCTCTTCTGCTGGGCTCCTCTCCCCTTACTCGCTCCCAGGGAGTCATCCTCCAAGAGGATGAAAGCCAAAGGGGAGCCCAGATAACAGGCAGGCCAACTCAGTCCCCTGTCCATGTGCCCACAGTCCAGCCACAGGCCCAACGTACAGACTACCCTCAGAGGATGCAGGGAGTAGAGCCGAAAGATAAATGTCAGGATGTTTTACAAAGCGGCTGTTAAAGATACCAGGCTTTCTGTTGTTTAGCATCACCTTGTGTGAAGATCTGGGGGATAAATTCCCCTCAAATTCAGTTCCAAAAAACACTTCAATATTCTGGCAGCTTTCCTTCTGCTTAACAGTGAGCTGATTTTCTCTTTTCACCACAGCTCTTAGGAAGCTCAGCATGAAGCTCCCCTTACCCCAAGCCTCGGTTATTATTATGTCACCTCTCTGTATTAGTTGGCTCTTACTCTTTTGTCATTATTACATCAGACCTCAGAGTCTATCTCTTATTGCCAGATATCCATCTGGTTCCTTCTGGACTAAATACAATAGTCTGGGCAAAAATATCTAGGAAAATTCTCAATCACTGCCCCTGAAGCAGGTGCCCAAGACCCAGGATTGGGAAAGCACTGGAGCTCCTGCCCCTCACCTTGGCTGCTCTCATGCTTCAACCAGGACCGGACAGGGTTGAATGGGATAGCCTCCATCTCACAGAGGAAGCTCTCTGGGTCCGAAGAGACGGCCGTGTTGGACAATGGGAAGAAGCATTCGCCCAGGTCCCCCACCTGCATGGGCTCAGGTGTGTCCGGCTCACCCTACAGGAAAGGGAAGTAGAAGAGACGGAGAGGAAGGGGCCGAGACTGAGTACACACCCTTACACAGCACAGAAACCAAGTCAAAGGTGGCAAAGGCATGAAAAGTCACAGGAGCCAACCTGTGGTCATGACCTTGGGTGGGTGGCCTCCCTTTGCCAAGCCTCAGTTTTTACATCCACATATGAAGAAAATAGTCCCTCTTTTCTGGTGATTGCCTGGAGTCTTGCACATGGGGGGCCTGGCCCTGGCATTTCTTCCCTGGCATGCCCAGGAGTTCCCTGGAACTCCTCAGCCAGCATCCTGAGGTGACCCCTGCCCAGCAACATCCTTGAGAACTGCCTTGATGTCATGTTCAAGGCAGATGGGCCCTGTGACTTGCCCTTTGATTCTGGCCTTGAATAGCTAGACTGTGCCTTGCTGAAGTCCCACAAGGCCCCAGAAGCTGTGCATCATGGTGTACTGTAAGGAGAGGGGTAGGGGGTGCAGGGAGCCCTCTAGCCCGCTCACCTTGCTGTCTTTGGGGCCAGGAGGGCAAGCTGTGGGGTCCTCAAGACTCATAGATGAGGACTTGTCTGAGTTCAGGGAGAAGGCTTCTGTCTCTGCCAGCTGCACCTGCAGTGTGGGGGGGGTGGTAATGGCCTCCAGTCACACCTGGGGCTGGGATAGGGAGCCTGGGCCTAGAGCTCTGAGTGACATGGCTCTGAAAGGATATGGGGCAGTGGTCAGAGTGGTCCATAAGTCTGCTGGGCATAGGTGGTATGCCCACCCTGCATAGGGGCCCTGCCTGAATGATACATGACAGTAACACAGAGGCCACTCCTAATGGAAGCTAGGAAGGGGCCCACATTGCTGCCTGGGTTTGAAACCAGAGAGGTACCATGGGCTGAGAATTCCACAGCTGTCTGCCTGCTCCAGACCAAGTGCGCACAGAGCCTGGGCTAGATCTGACCCCTCTGAGCCCTAGATGGGGCTTAGGGTGTCATGGGCAGGTGGTAGGGCATCCTAGACTTCACACTCCTGCCAAGGCTCCTGGGAATGACCTTGCCCCCACATGAGGCTGGGCCTGGAGCTAGGGTAGCTCAGAAGCCCACACTGCAGAGGAGCGGGGAGGGGCTCCTGAGTCCTGGAGACAGACCTCGGGGACCATCTAGGAAACTGCCCCAAGGTGGGTAGGGCTTGGCCCCGAGGCAGAGCCAGGGCAGGGGCCCCAAGGAGGCTCTGAGGGGCTCAGGGCTGTGGTAGAAGAGCAGACTCAGATGACCCCTTCCCATCATGGAAAGGGTCAAATACACCAGAGACCACACACAGGGCTCCTGCCTGCACCAGCAGCACACAGGTTGGGCAACTGCTTCTACTGTATACAGCGTGGTGCTGGGGTTGACAGCTCTCCGTGTCACTCCACAGGGTCCCACCTTGCAGACAGACAAGTGAACCCAAACTTGTAAGAGACCATCTACCACCGCCACCAGAGTAAGTGTGTCTCTGGGGCCCAGAGCCCCCACCACCAGGGTCAGTCCCCTTCCGGGCTGCCTGGTACCTCTTGCTTGTCATGGTGACACTTCTCACAGCTGGCAGGAGAGGCATAGTGGTGGAAAATGGAGCCAGACAGGTTGTCAATGATGGTCAGTTCCCCCTCCAAGGAGTCCTTGATGATTAAAGAGACGCTGTCCAGCCACAGGTTCTCCTAGGCGGACGGGCGGGGTGGGGACAGGTGGGATTATCGGTGGGGTCCCGGGACTGTAGGGTGGGCAGAACACAGCTGCCCTCCCGTTCTCTGTGCCCATGGCCTGGAACCAAGCCCTTCATCACAGGGTCACCCTGTCCTGGAGCTCAGCATGGTGGGGCCCCAAAAGACAGAGGGCACCTCCCAGCTCAGCTGCCCATCCTGCCCCACAGTGCCCACCCTTGGCCCTCTCTGCCCCTGCCCACCTGGGCTGGAGAGTAGCAGCGGCGGCATAGGCGGCCCTCGTTGTCGCCCCCACTGCCCACCCCTCCTGGCCCTCGGCCCAGGGCCCCTGAGGAGTTGGTGGGCGGCCGGGGGCTGGGAGCCAGGCCATGGGCCATTTCCAGCTCAATCTCAGCGTCCATCTCGGCGTCCTCCTGTGCTTCCTTGTTACTGTCGTCCAGGTGTTTCATGAGCACAGCCACCACGACATTGATGAGCACGAACTGGGCAGTAAGCACGAAGCTCACAAAGTACAGCGGGGACACGAACTGCAGGCTGCTCAGGCAGCTGCGCTCGTCATGGGTACAGTCTCTCAGCGTGTCCTACACCACGGGGAGGGCAGGTGAGGTCCAGGCCTCCTTCAAGCCACTGCCTCACCTCTAGAGGGGCAGAGGTGCCAGACGGATGAGGCCAGCCCAGGACCAAACACATGCAGGTGGTAAGGTAGGGATTTAACACCCCCAGAGAGGGGCACTGACTGCACCCACTTCACCCCGCACTGTAGCTGGCCTGGTCTCCTGGCCCTGAAAGTGGCATTGGGGCTTCTCCAGAGGCCTGTCCTGTGGTCTGGTTTTCAGCCCAACTCAATTGAGGAAGCCTCCTCCACCCTCCAGCTGTTCTGCCCAGCTTGGGGGAGCATTCTCCCCAGGCTGGGGTGCTCAGCGAGGAAAGGGCCACAGCTGCCTCCTGTCTCCATCCCAAGGGCTTCAAAGCAGGGGACTGACTCTGTCCTCTGGCCATGGGCCAAGCCAGGAAGCCTCTGCTGATGACCCACAGTGCAGTAAATGCCTTGGGGGCCTAAAGTCCCCACCGCTGGGCAGAGATGCCTCTCCTAGACAGCCCCAGGGCTGCCCTGTCCTGGCCTCAGCTCCACCTCCCATGCCGTGGGGACCCTGGACTTCTGGAGGGGGCCCTAACTCCCCTCCTGTGTGCAATGGGGCATGCAGACGGGACCGGGGCCCTGACCCGCAGGGATTCAAGAGCCTCTGGTTGCTCTCTCTTCAGCCTGCCCATGAGTACCTTCATGATCCCATTCCAGTTGTCGCCTGTGGAGACCTGGAAGAGTGTGAGGAAGGCCATGCCGAAGTTCTCAAAGGTGGCGTGCCGGCTCATGCCCTCGCAGGGGTTTTCATCATTACAGACTGAGAGGAGAGAGGAAGTCAGCCTGTTTCTCTGGCAGCACCCCTCACAGCCTACCCTGAGCTGGCATGTCCCAGCCTCCTCTCAGAATCTCCCTCACACCCTCAGAGGTGCATGCAGACTGTGCCCAGCCCACAGATGGAGAAATCAAGACTTGGGGAGGTGGCACACAAGCTGAGGTCAGACTCAGGAGTGTCTGGTTCTTCCTTCAACCCAAGAATGAGTTCCAGAGAGAGGACGAGGTGTGAGAGGTAAGGGCCAGCTCCTCAGGTAACCCTGCTTTTTGGATCTGACCCTGTGCAAGGCTGAGCTGGGCATGGGCCATGTTGCCCTCTGCCTTGGCCTCTCTGCTTAGGGGGGCAGCACTGACTCAGGTTTGGCACTGGCCCGGAGACCAGATGGCCGGGCTTAGGGTCCCATCATCCTCAGATGGTCCCACATCTCTCCAAGATGGGGTATGGATGGCAGAGGCCTCCCACCCAGGGGCCCTGTAGCAGAAGTATCTCTCTCCCCATACAGTGACCCCTGGGGAGGGTGTCCCTGCCTCCTCCAGCCCTGCCCTGGACCAGGCCTCAGGAACCACTCACCCAGCTTCCCAAAAAGCTCCACCCCCAGGGCGGCGTAGATGAAGAAGAGCAGCATGAAGAGGAGGCCTAGATTGCCCACCTGTGGGGAGAGGCAGGCTGGGCCAAGAGCAGAGAGGGCTGGGGGCAGGGACCAGAGCGGGGGAGGCCTGGGGAAGGTGGAGGTAAGGGGGCTCAGGCCAGGGGCCAGAGGTGGGGCCAGGCTCCATGCCTAAGGTAGGGAGCAGCTGTAACATCGGACACTGGGCCAGACTGCATGTCCATGTCTGTCAACTGCCATCCCCCTCGTGACCTCCTAGAGGGCAGAATGGTGCAGAAGCCTTCACTGTGAGCGTCCTGATTCGAGCCCTCCACACTCGGTAGCTCACCTGCTCCTCACAAAGGCCTTGAAACCATCTTTTATACCCCTTCCTCATGAAGAGAGACTGGCTGAGAGGCAAAGTCACTTGCCCAGAATCACACAGCTCGTAAGTGGTGGGACAGGGATCCAAGCCCTGCCCTAGTCTGTTACACCATTGCTACTCTGCACACCTTGTGTGCTCGGTAAGATTCCATGCATGAAGGGAGAAAGTCTCAGTAGCAATGCCACCTCCCCCTTGAAGCCTGCCTGAATTCCTCCAGGCAGACCAAATGCAATCTGACAATGCAAGTGTAAATGATTGTCCTCTGCTGGGAAGTCCTCAAGTGCAGGGACACAGCTGAATGAAGTCAGATTTGCCTCCACAGGCCAGCTCAGGGACTGGCCAGGGAGAAGAATGAGCACAGGAATAACACAGGCCCAGGAGCCTCCTGCAAATGCAGCCACCCCCATCCCACAGCTCCTGCAGGAGATAATGCCCCAGATTCCAAACCTAGTTCAAATCCATCCACCTGGCAGAGACACCTTTACCTGTGCCATGGATGAGGTAAGGCTCAATCGCATTTCTGCCCTAGAAACGAAGTGGGTCCCTGGCCCTCCAAAGGCTGCGCTAATGGACTCAGAATTGGAAGGCATTCGCAGTAATTGCTGAAAAGTAAACCCCGTTAATCACAGGCTCTCTGCTCCAGAGGAGGGCTTCCTTCCGAGCTGCGCTGTGCTGGAGTGGCTGCCTAATTAAATGGCGCTCTGTTCATTAATGAAACAAGCACTTAGTGGGCACCGTGAAGCAAGTGTGCGGCAGCACACCTAGCCAGGTCCCTTCTTTTCCTTCCCCATCAGCATCTAAGAGCCTGCCAGCCGCAGCAGCCTCCTCACCAGCCTCCTTGCCTCCAGCCTCTCCGCCAAAGCAGAGTGACTTCTAAAAGCACTCTGGTTGAGGCCTCTTGTCCAAATACTCCTGTGCCCACAGGACAAAGCTATTCAGTGCTGAAGGCCTCTGTGACCTGGTCCTGAGGCCCCCTCCTGGCCTGATCTTCCAACCCTGCAGACCCTCTGTCTTTATGTTTGTCAATGCCTCCTCCTCATCCACAAAGACCAGTTTATGGCTTCTACTCTGAGAAGCCCTCCCTGATACCTCCTCCCCCTGCATGGGGTGGTGTGGGATGGGAAGGTCTGAAGTTTTATTTTCACAACACTTTACACAGAATTGAGGAAATGAGGACAGCATGGAGGTCAGCTACTAGATTTTGAGAGGCAAGACCTTAGCCACACGGTACCTGGCAGGTGCATCTCATAACGAGCTGATGTCACTGTATTTACCATCGCAGGTCTCCTGCTTGAGGCTGAGGCCTTCTGACTACCTCCATGTGTCCTGGGCCAGCCCAGGGTGCTCATGGGTCAGAAAAGGGGGAGGAGGCACAGCCATGACCACTGCATCCCCACTCCCACTCCTAGCCAACTTTGCTTTGGCACCTCCTGTGAACCAGGTCCTACTAAGTGCTTTATATATGCTTTAGCCCTTTGAAATAAACACTGTCATCATTGTCACTTCATGAGCAAGGAAACCAAATCATGAGAATTTAAGTCACCTGCCCAGGGCCCACACTCTGATCTCAGGCAATATGGCTCCAACCCACTTTCTGTCTGCACATCAGCCCCAGCCCACCAGCCCTCTGCCGCCATGTCCATGCGTTAGGGAAAACATTTGATTGAGTGTCTCTGCTATCTATGCAGACCTGACAAGAGCCATGTCACTTTTGCTTTGTAACTGGGCCTCTGGGACGTTCACACCAAACTTAAGAACAGAACTCACTGGTATCTTCAGCCCAGGTCCCTGAAAGAATTCACTTTGCTTCCACCTCCCCTGGGCTGTTGGTTTTTATCTTCATCTCTAGTGTACTGTATCTATGCCTTTTATTTCAAGACGCTTAAAATTCCTTAAGGTTAGATGAGTTGATGAATAAGTAAACAACCACAAGGCTCACCTCAGAGTGCAGCCCACTTGAGCACAAGGGAAGCCTCAAGCCATCAGGATGGGGGTGAGGAAGTTGGGGGCACTGGGACTGAAGAATTACCAGGGGGGGACAAAAAATGCCCCCTTGGTGGCACTGACACCAGCTCCCTTCTACTCTCCTAACTGCTCAGGGTCCCCAGCTCAGGTCAGGAGCTCCTGCAATCCCTCCTGGAAGGCTGTTTGGGGACCTCTTTTTCCATACTGATACCTCCTCCTGCCAAATCACCTTCCAGGTAAAGGTCAAAGCTGTCCTTCCCTGCATGGCCTTCCCCGATTTCCCCAGAGAGTGTCCGGCACCACCTTCTCTCCCAGAGTACACTGCAGGCCCCTCCCCCCACATAGGTGTCTATGTCCCCCTCCAGCCTGGGGGCTCCTGAAGGCATTGTGCAAATCCTCAGAGGCTGCATAGGGCTGGGCCCAGAGCAGGCACTGGGTGGCCATGTGGGGAGGCCGGGAAGAGACAGGACTCTGCCCTGGGTCTGGGTAGGTTTGAGGAGAAGGGACGTGGAGTACGTACGCAACCCTCAAGGCCCAGCCCAGTCCTCTGTAGGCAGGGCTCCAGAAGGGAGTGGCTCTTACCTGCGGCAGAGCCTGCACCACTGTGTCCAGCAGGGCTCGCATTCCTGTGGCCATCTTCAGCAGTTTCAGCACTGTGGGCGACAGCCGGCCCCGGCCCTCAGCCCAGGCTGTGGGGAACATGTGTGTGCGGGGGACGTGCAGGCATGTGGACTTGAAAGGTGAGCGGGAGTGTGCAGCATGTGAGCAGGATCAGCCACAGGACAAGAATGTGGCGTGGCCACAAGGTGAATGTGGTCTTGCACAAAATGCACAATACCAGGTGTGAATGTCAATGTAAAAAATCCACAAGAATGAGGACATGTACTTGGGAGTGGAGGGACCGAAAATGTGCAAATGAATGTGTCATTAACCATGATGGATCAAAAATGACATGAGCGTCCATACCTCTCCCAACCCCTCTGCCTAAAGAGGACCCTGGTGTCACCTGCCCAGTTTCTGTGCATCCCGTCCCTCTTTGGAACATGGAGGCAACAGGGAGGGGGTGGGCAGAAAAGTAAGAGGCACCAGGCCAGCACTGAGGCAGGAGGGTTTTGAAAGAACCATAGAAACGACCTCCGGATAAGAGGGGACTTCTGGGAAAAAGTGCTGAGGACTAGATCACAGACATGGTGTTGGAGAAATGCCAGGAAGCCAGTGGAGCAGTATCCCGTTCCCTCTGTCACAACCTGAGACTGCCACACAGACAGCGGCACAATGAGGAAGCAGGGATGTGTGCACGAGCATGGGGGGTGAGGAAGTGAGTGTGCGGGAGGCGTGTTCACGAGGGGTGAAGCTGTGAATGCCTCCTGCCTCTCCCCGCCCCACTCTTGCATGCTCTTACCCTCCCCCCAGGCAATGGGAAGTCCCATCCTGCCCCTGGCTGTCCCCTTCCCCCTGCCCTCACCCCGGGCGATGCGTAGGACTCGCATGATCCGGATAATGGTGGGGTTGATGGGCAGTGCCGCATTGATCTCGATCTCCTCCAGTGTGATGCCCATGACTGACAGCAGCACGATGGCCAGGTCCAGCTGGTTCCACCTGCTCAGCCAGGCAGAGGAGGCCGGAGTGGAATCAGGGGACGAGCACTCTGGTTCAGGCATACCTTAGCTGGAGGGGGCCTCCTGGCTCTCTACCCTTCTGTTGTGGTCCACTGAACTGAGTGGCTACCCTCCCTACTAGTCCTGCCAAATACCACTGAGTCGAGCCCCCTTTGCACTTCCCAAACAGGGGGCTAACTAAGCTAAATAAACATCTCTAGTCTCCTGTAGAGGAAGACACATGGCTCTGAATTCTAAGTCCAAAGTTTGAGCCACCTGCTCCCTCTGGATGGATTTCAGCCAGTTCATCAATCTCTCTGAGCCTCACATGTTCCCTCTGAAAACGAAGGTTAACATGAGGCAGATCCTGCTTGGCCTGTGCGGTATGGAGGACCCACCAGAGGTGAGCTGAGAAGGGCCTGTTGGGATGCCCTGTATCCATCTAGTCACTTCCTGTTCAGAGATCTTGGCAGCAGCAGGGAGCCCCTGGCCATCAATGTCCATATATGTACTGTTTCTCCTTCTCTGGCGCCTCCCACCTTGCTGCTCTAGCCTGGCCCAGTTACTCACCGGTCCTTGAAGAAGCGCCTCAGGCCAAATGCCACCAGCTTCAGCACAGCCTCCAGCACGAAGACAGTGGTAAACATGTAGTTGCAGTACTTGAGGGCTATCTCCAGGGACTACAGGGACAAAGAGAAGCATGATCCAGTCCCCATGATCTGCCCCACAATCTTCCTCCACTTAGAAAGTTTCTGCCTTTCAAGGGGAGAATTTAATCCATTCACATTTAGTACAATACAGGGTTTTTATCTCTTCCATCTTACTTAATGTGTATTATTCATTTGACATTGTTTCCTTTTTCTTATTTCTGCTGACTTGATCCAGTTGCTCCTCTTTGGAGGCAATACAGGACACCCAAATCAGACTGCATACATTTGGATCTGGCTTAGCATTTACTCTTTATTCACTGTGTGATGTTGCACAAGTACCTGACCTCTCTGACACTTAGTTTCTCAATATGAAATTGTGAAAAACGGTATCACCTACGTCAGAAATTTGCTGTGAAAATTAAATGAGCTAAGAGTTCAAGGCTGGGCACAGAATAAATCCTTGGCAAGTGTGAGCTATGATTACACCACTTCTTCATGTTAAATTGGAGGTTCTGTTCCACTCTGCCCATGGTTTCCTTCCCCCTCTATTGTTTGAAGATACTAATTCCTTACCTGGAGTCTTTCCCTCCAACTCCATTGAGCTGAGGCTTTTAAAATGCACTTTCCTGTCATATCCTCCCCGTCCATGCTGTCCACATTTCTGAGAATTGGTCACGCTCTCCCTGCAGTGACCGCCTGCAGTGGTGCTGCCACATGGAATGCTACCCCCATCCCATCTCTGTACGCTCAGCTGATAGCGGAGCCTACACAGTACGCTTTGAATGCAAATGTAGGTCCCAGGTCTGCCTCTACCACCGCAGCTGACTAAGTTGGGCAGCACATTTAACCTCTCTGAGCCTTGGTTTCCTCATCTATAAAATCTACACAGCCTTAAAGTTACTATGAGCGTAAAGTTCATTCATGTAGCGTGCCTGGCAAAGAGAACTGAACAAGCACAGCATTCTTACTCATGCTCTAGGATGGTCCCAAATGTCACCTCTCCTACCCACTGAGAACGAGTGACCTTTCCTTTCACTCATCTGTCCCACCAGACTGTGAGCTTCCCTGGAGACAAGGCTGTCCTCTGCCTCCTCTCCCTGCAGTGCCCAGTACAGGGCCCAACATGGGGTGGCTGCTTGGATCCTGCTGTCAGCTGATTCCCCGGCCCTACCTTGTCCTTGGGTGGGGTCCTATTGAGACCACCTTGGGCTGGGAGGGGACACCGGAGCTCACCGTGGGCTGGTTATAGTGCTCCAGGGACATGGTGACCACGTTGAGGCAGATAATGAAGGTAATGAAGATGTCCAGGTAGTGGCTGGTGCACATGGAGTGGATGAGCAGCCGGGTGGGACAGTAGGTGGCATAGTAGGGCAGCCTCTGGGCCTCTGCATGGTATGGAGGGAGTGGCACAGGCCTCAGAGGGTTGGGGCTGAGAGGAAGGGGACAGAACACAAAGGAGGGGGAGGCGGAGGGGAGGGGAAGGGAGGTGGATACTGGTCCACACCAGCCCTGGGTCTGAGTTAGGTCTCTACCCAGTGAGGGTGCCATGAGGAAAGCCGTAAGGCATGGGGGACAGTGGCACAGAGAGCAGGACGTTCCCTGTGGCTGGGATTCTGGGTCAGCAGTGGGGGAGGACAAAGGACCCACACCCAGGACCAGGCATCTGGGCTGGGCCTTTGCCTCTGCCTGGACTGAAGGAAGCACCTGGAGGCTCACTGGGGTGAGCAGTGGTGAACTCTAGATGGACACTGATGGGCTCAGGTCACCTGGACAGGCAGATGCTGGGGAAAGGGGCCAGGCTACAGACACAGGGATGGGATCCTTTGTTCCCTTGCAGCCTCAAAGGCCCAGGAGCCCAAGTCAGGCCCAGACCTTGGACTCTGTAGAAGAGCAGCAGCCCGACAGAGGGGCCCAGGGTTGGACCCCCCCACCTCCAGCATCCACTCACTGCGGCGTTTCTTTTCCAGGCGCCGCAGCCGCTTCTCCTCTCGCCGCCGCGCCTCCTCGGCCTCCTGGTGCTGCCGGCACTTGTGGAAGTTCTCCACCACCACGCCCACAAACATGTTGAGCACGAAGAAGCTGACGATGAGCAGGAAGGAGATGAAGTACAGCAGCATCCAGGGGTTGTGGTTGGTCACAGGCTGTGGGGGCCACAGGCAGGGATGGAGAAGGCTGATCAGGCACCGCAGGGCCACAGGCAGACACCGGACCTCACCAAACCTCTGTGCAATGAGGGTGCGACAACCTGCCTTCAAGGAGGCTGTGAAGTTTGAATGAGGCAGCAGGTAGGAAGTGTCCATCTGGGCCTGGCACAGTAGGGTGCTCAGCAAGGAGAAGCTCCTTTCCTCCCCACTGCAGCCACAGCTTCCTGGACACATCTGCCTATCTTCTTCCTCTCACTTACTTACCATTCATGAGCCAATGCAAACATCCACTCATCCACCTACTCACTCACCCATCTACCCACCTAACCATCCATCCATCCATTCATCTCCCTACCCACTCACCCATTCATCCACTCTCCCATCCACCCATTCATCCATCCGCCCATCCGCCCGCCCATCCGCCCATCCACCCGTCCACCCGCCCATCCATCCGTTCACCCGTCCATCCGTCCGTCCACCCGTCCACCCGTCCGTCCATCCGTCCACCCGTCCATCCATCCACCCACCCACTCACCCATTCATCCACTCTCCCATCCACCCATCCATCCATCCACCCATCCGCCCGCCCGCCCGCCTGCCCATCCACCCGTCCACCCGTCCACCCGCCCGTCCACCCGCCCATCCATCCGTTCACCCGTCCATCCATCCGTCCACCCATCCACCCGTCCGTCCACCCGTCCACCCGTCCATCCATCCACCCACCCACTCATCCATCCATCCACTTATTCATCTATCTACCCACCCATCCCTTCCTCCCTCCATCATCCATCCATCTTCTCTTCTACCCACCACTACCAATCCATCCACCTATCCCCCCACTTATCCATTCATCTGCTCATTCATCCATCTAGGAACAAGTCAGAAAACAAGGTAGTGAGAAAGGGTTGAGATTCCTCGTGGAGTCTATGTGTGCCTATGCACTGCTGAACCTCCTGAGTCTTTGAGGCTGGAAGAGAACAAAGGATCCCATCCCTGTAGCCCATCAGTGTCCACCTGGCGTCTCGTAGGTGACAGACAAGGAAGTGGAGCAACACCTCCAAATATTCTCATTTCCCATCAGCCCTTGACTCACCTTTAGCTCCAGAGCAACAAGGTGGGTCCCATGAGGCCAAGAGCCAGAGGTCACTGGGGCAGCCACTCTTGAGTTGCCCTAAAGAGCCTACCTGATCCTTCTCCCAGATACCCCTCAGATTCCCTCAGACCCAGCCAACCCTAGTCAGCCATGTGTCTTGCCTAAAGTCTCTGTCCAGACCCAGAGAGGACCCCTGCTTCCAGAAGGGTCTTTGGAGCCAAGGTTCAGGCCCAGCCCCCTCCCTGATCCTCTCAATCCAGTCCCCCTTCCCAAATCCACCCTCACCCAGCAGCTCACAGGAGGCACCCACAAGCAACCTGACCAGCAGGGGCGCTGCTCTTGCTATAACTCCTTCACTGACTCCCTCTGCCCACAGAATAAAATTTGCCTTGCCATAATGCACGCGGGGGTCTTGGGAACCATCTGGCCCAGCTTGCCGCCTCCCCTAGCCTCCTGTCATTCTTCCTTCGCCCCTCTCACCTCAGGCTGGCACCTGCTGTCCCTCTGCCAGGTGGCTCAGCCCACCCACCTCCTGCACTTGGTTCCTCACATACCAGGTTCTGTGCCCCATCAGGTGGGAGCCAGCTGAGATTCCTCCCCCTGCAGGGAGGGGGATTTGGGGAAGCAAGTGGAGTAAGGATTCATACCACCCAAAGGGCAGCCCTGATGGTGAAGATCCAGGACAGGACATGTTGCGTGGGCTGTGGCTGGTGGTCAAGAGACACCAGAGTCATGGGCTCACAACACTAGTTTCAGACCACTGAGCCCCAAAGACATGCTCCTCCCCACTGACCAGGCCTGACCTGGCCCCAGCCATGCCCACCTGCTGGTCCACAGCCACGGCATCCAGCCCATTGTACATGATGTTCACCCAGCCGTCCTTGGAGGCCAGGACAAAAAGGGACATCAAAGCCTGGAAGATACCAAGAGGGGAGGGGAGGGGAAAGGTTAAGGGGTGTGGGCAGCTCGGGCCACACCTACACCTGCTGAGCTCTCCATCCTCCTGCCTCTGGGAGGCTGAGGGACAAAAAGGCCTTCCTTGTGTGGCAGGGCCATGCCCTGCAGTGGCCCTGGGTCAGAGCCCTGGGTGATTTGGGGTAAGTTCCTTGATGTCTCCGGGTCTGTTTCCTCATCTGTAAACTAGCGATAGTTACTCTCACTGGCCTCAGAGTTTTAAAAGGAGGTGGTCACCAGGAGACAGCCAGCTATGGCTCCTAAACAGATGGCAGGCCAGCATCCTCACGGCTGTTCAGCAGGTCACCAGCTGGTCTGGAGCACCCAGCGCTGCCTCACACACAGCAGTTGCTCAGTAAGGGTTTTCTGAACTGAACTCAAGCACTGTCTTTGTAGCTCCAAGTCCATGGGAAGTTAATGGGTTCACAAAGGGTCCTATATCACCAGAGGCTGCCTGAGGTCCCCTGGGCAGAATGGCTCATGCCCTCCTTGGTGCTTCTGCTGCCCAGGACAGGAAGTCAGGCTATGGGATGGGGCCCTTTCCCTGCAGTGGCCCATCCTTCCCACCCATCTAGGACACAGTCCCCTATCTTCCCCTTGCAAGGGGAATGATGCTGAGGGTGCCTGGAAAGGGCTCGGACCCAGGAGCAGGCAGGGCAGGGGACACAGAGGAAGTCTACTTTACCAAGCAAGCACAGGAGGTCTATACATTCCATGACCTGTCATCACTGTCTGCACTGACAGATGAGGACACCAAAGCACAGAGGGGTCTAGAACTTGCCTAAGGGAACACAGCTGAGGAGTCAAGAGGCTACAGGCCATGCTGTGACCCTCCCCTATGGCTCTGGCTGCTTAGCACCCCCTAAGTACTCCAGGGCAGCCAGCCTGGGGTCAAGTATACCAGGAATGGGAAAGGCCAAGTGTGGAATGCATGGGTGATTGGAGTCAGGAGCAAGCTTACAAAAGCCCCCCTCAGGTTTCCCCAGCTTTCTGTGGCATCTTTACCCCACTGTTTCACCAACCCCTGGGTTGTTAAAAACTTGAAAAGCACTGCTCCTGAGAACCACAGGGAGCCACTCCCTAGTGACTGAGTCTTGTCCCTGGCCTCTTTCCCTGGCCACTCGCCACCCCTCAACCCCAAGGCTTCCCTCCCAGGTAGTATGGGAAGCTGGGTCTGTGAGTGAGCATCTACCTTCAGGCCACCCAGTGAGGTGGGGGTCTGGGCCTGGATCCTGCTCCCTCCCTGCAATGAGCTAGGGCAAGGCATGTGCCTATCTGAACACAGCTGGCTACCTGAGTGGATCCTCAAGAAGCAGAAGCAGGGGCTAGGCATTGTGGCTTGTGCCTGTAATCCCAGCCACTCGGGAAGCAGACATGGGGAGGATCGTGGTTTGAGGCCAGCCTGGGTAAAAAGTTAGTGAGATCCCCATTTCAGTCAATAAGCTAGGCATGGTGGTATGCATCTGTAATTCTGGCAATGCGACAAGAGGCACAGGTAGGAGGATCATGGTCACAGGTTAGCCAGGGGCAAAAACTAGAGATCCAAAAAATGACTGAGCCAAAAAGGCTGGGGGTATGGCTCAAGTGGTAGAGTGCCTGCCTAGCAAGTGCAAGGCCCTGAGTTCAAACCCCAGTACTACCAAGAAGCAGGAGCCACTCTGGCGAGCAGAAGAAGCTCTTTGGAGGCAACCAGCCAGGGGAGCACTCCCCAGATGGTTGAGCCTGGCAGGTCCCCAGGAGAGAGGACCAAAGGCAAAGCAGGAACTGGTGAGGACCTGCCTGCCAACTAGAGAGACAAGAAAGAGGATGGATGATGGGAAAGTGGCCCCACCCTGGGCCAAGGGGCTCAACACACTGATGGCTCCCACAGGCTGCCTGGTAGGCAATGGCATTCCTATTTTACAGATGGAAAAACTAAGCTCAGCTGGGAGCCGGTGGCTCACAAACTGAGATCAGAAGGATCTCAGTTTGAAGCCAGCCCAGGCAAACAGTTTGCAAGACCCTATCTCGGAAAAAAAATCACAAAAAAGGGCTGGTGGAGTTGCTCACGGGGTAGACCCTGAGTTCAAACTCCAGCACTACACACACACACACACACAAAAAAAAACCAACTAAGCTCAGGGAAGCCACACCTACAGCAAGTGACAGAGCTGGGAAGCATACCCAGTGTAGTTGGCTCTAAAATTCCTGTCAGGGTCCCCTGGGTCGGGGGTGGAGACCAGGACCAATGTTCAGGGGAGCACCTGCTAAATGCCAGGTGCTGGCCTCATGCCTCTCATTTTGCAGACTAGGAAAATAAGGCTTGGAAAGGAGAAGACACAAGGTCAGTCTTGGCAATGAGAGACAGGAATCAGGTGTGTGAGCCCAGGGCCATCAGCAGCGAGGAGCTGTTACCACAGGGAGACAAGTCAGACCAGGGTAGGTGGGCAGCGCTCACCTGGCCCAGGTTGTCAAAGTTGTATTTGTGATGGACCCAGCGGTAGTTGGCGGCTACACAATCAGATCGGTTGGTGATGTTGCGGGTGTCCACACCCAGACAGTGGTAGAACTTGCCCTTGAAGAGCTGGGGGAAAGAAAGGAGGGTCAAAATCAATGTTCCCAGGGCATGGGGAACACAATAAGAAAAAGGATCCACTCCTCTGATTACACCGATGCAGACTGTCCTGTGCTACAGTCATCTAGGCTGGGGTCCTTCTGAGAAGGACCATGGCTTGCTCCACCAGGGCCTCTGGGCCTCCAGGTCAGCCAGCACAGGTGGAATGGGGTAGGAATGAATGTGCAGTCCCTGCCAACCTGGGGGCCCCTCACCTGTACCCCCAAGATGCCAAAGATGATGAAGAAGGCACAGCAGATGAGCACAATGTTGCCAATAGGCTTGAGGGAAGAGATGAGAGTCTCTACCACCAGCTTCAGTCCAGGGGCCCGGCTGATGACCCTGTGGACAAGGAGGGGCAGGCAGGGCATCACGAGCCACAGCAGGCAGGAGGTAGCCCCACTCACCCCAGAGTCACCCGGGATCCGGTTTCTGCAGAACAGGCAGTGAGCAGCAGTCTCACCCAGACCAATACATGAAAGGACACCTGCCTTCTCCGGGCCCCTTGGAGGGCACACCACACTCTGGCCTAGAGACTGGCACCCAGAGATTGCAGTGAGCCATCCAGGGACACAAAAATGATCAACAGTAAGGGGCTCCTTCATCCCCAGGCCCTCCTGGTTCCACGTCAGGAACAGGGCCGTGCGATTTTTCTGTACACTGCAGCAACATCCATCCGCAAACGTGGGGTGGTGGAGGGGGCAGGGTCTCACCTCAGGGGGCGTAGGGTGCGCAGGAGCCGCAGGACTCGGAGGACCCCCAGTATCTTGGCTCCTCCGGCCGATGCCACAGACACCACGATGTCGATGATGGATACGAAGACAAGGAAGCCGTCCAGCACGTTCCAGCTGCTGCGCAGGTAGGCCTGCTCCCCAAAGTACAGGCCCAGCGAGACCACCTGGGGGCGGGGCCTGGGTCAGGTCGCCGGCGCGGCGGAGAGGGGCGGGGCCGGCAGATTCGCGCAGGGGAGGGGGCGGAGGAGGGCCCGTGGGACCAGGTCTGGGGGTCCTTCTGGGGACACTGCAGGGTGACAGTCGGGGCGGGACCAGGCAGGTGCCGGGGAGGGAGCGGATAAGAGACACAGTCCCTGTGAAAGCGAGCGGTAGGTGGGAACCCACCACGTCTAGCAAGCCCAATCCAAAGTCACCGCACAGGTACCTCTGTTACACTATGTTTCTCCCTGCATTCGCCTTTCTGGCGACGGGGTTTGACTCCCAGAGAGGAGGGACGCCACTGACCCCATGTAGGTTCCAGGGGCCCAACCACCAGGGACTGGTGCCCAAGGGGAGCGGGCGTCCCGGGCCTGTGGAATGTTGCTGATGGCCAGGCCAGTGACAAGCTTAGAGAGGGAGGGGCGGGACCTGGCCAGGGGCCCCAGCTGGGGGTGGGAGTGATCCAGGTGCAACCTTCAGTGTCATCTCGCCCACAAAGATGGCAGTGAAGATGTAGTTGGAGACGGTGAGAAAGATGCGTTCCTAAAAGAGACAGAGATGCCATGGGTCCAAGAGGCTCACACCACTGCCCAGTCACCTGGCCAACCTCTCACTTCAAGGTGGCCTTCCTTCCCCAGAGGCCCCTTCCCTGCCCCACCTCCCTCCACGGTATTGGGCATCTGGCTTTGCTGAGCAATCTCTGGGCCTGTGGCAGGCCCTGGGGTTCTGTCCCTCTGCCTCCTGGCCCCTTTCCTTGCCAAAGGGCTGCAGTCACTCACAGTACTGCCGGCCTCTATCTGGGGCCGCTCCAAGGCAATGGTGATACAGTTGAGGAAGATGAAGGCCAGGACGACATAGTCGAAGAGCTTGTGGGCAATGATGGTCTGACACAGGACCCGGAACCTGGACGAGGGCCCCAAGAGTGTCAGTTTGCCTACTACCATGACCAGGGGAAAGACAGAGGGCCCAGACACATGGGAACCAGAATGGCCAAGGGAAGTGACTCCTTCTCCTCCTCTGCCCATGCAACAGATGCCAACTTTACATCTGTTCAGGGTGCCCACCTGGAGCCTCCTCCCCTGACCACACACCAATTCAGTGAAGAGCACCCACCTTAGCCCAGCATCTAAGGCTTTCCAAACACTGTCCCAAATCCTGACTTCTGTTCTCCACAACAAGGACACCACATTGCCTGATGTCCCCCAGGCTTTCCCTAGGGCTGCTCCCTCCACCTGGGCCAGCCTGTCCTCTTTATAACCCCACTCCACTTTCCACTGCACCTATTGAAATGTTATCTGTCTCCAAAGGAGGAAGACTTCTAATGTCCCCTCCAGATGTAAACACCACAGGCTGCTTCAGGATCTGTCCAATCTGGTGCCCAGCACGGGGCTGGCCTCTACTGCAGGAGATGCTGAGGAAAGCCTGAGACCCTCCCCTCTAGACTGCTCCTCCCCCATGGGAGCGCACCACTAATGGCCTTGCCTGGTTTGGCAGAGAGGTCTCCCCTCCCAGACTTGTCGTCCCTATTCTAGTCCTCACCCCAAGGCGGGCCCCGCCCACCTGTTCTCGGGAGAGAAGAGGTAGACGGACCAGTTCTCTCGGACCTCGCACCAGTCAGGCTTGTAGACGTCGATCATCTTGCGGACGCGGAAGCACAGAGTCTGGCAAGGGCAGGCCGAGAAACGGAAAGGTCAAGTTCTGTGCATAGCGGCTCAGACGCGCCCACCCAGCAACCTGGGGCCACTGGATAACCTCTGAACTCTCTCTTTCCCAAGGCAGATGCGGAGGGCTTCTTTCTCAGAGGCGGGCCCAGCTCAGGGTTAGGCAGTTCCGTCCAGCCCCTCCAAACTCACCCACCCTGAGCCCCATCGCCCCGGCCACGCCCCCCGGTACCACGCCCCCGTGGACCGCCCACGTTCTCGCCCCTCCCCTTGCTTTTATAGTCCACCTTCTAATCTGAGCGGCATGCCACTCACGTAATCGATCTCTTCCTCGTCTTCGCCGCGATCCCGGCGGTCGTCCATCTTTGTAAAGACGTCCTTGGCGATGCTGGGCATTCTGCCATTGCAGTCCTCGTGCCCAGGAACCGAGCTTGCCACCCTCCAGGCGGCCCGAGGGTGGGCGCCCACGACTGGCACCAGCTCGGCCAGGTCTACCGAGTCTCTGGTGTCGAGGGACAACGTCCGACGGTGGTGGCGGTGACGGTGTGCCAAGTGCGGTCCATGGTGCGCGTGGTGGGCGAGAGGGCCGTGCGGGGGCGCAGCGTGCGGCGGCCCCTCATCCCTGGCGCCCTCGCAAGCCGGGGCACCGCCGCTGCGCTCCGCCGAGAGCAGGGACTCGTGCTCGGCTGATGGCGGCTTGTGCTTGAGGCTGTTCCAGCTGGAACGGCGGCTGGCCCAGGCCCCGCTGCGGCCCCAAGGCCCGTAGTAGGAACTCTGGGAGCTGGACTAAGGGGAGGCCCGGGCTGGGGTCAACGCCCAGCGCACACCCATGCTGAAGCCTAGCTGGCCCGGGCTGTGGAGTTAGAGGGCCCCACTTGGCCAGTGGGTGAATGAGAGGCTAGACTCCTAGGGTCCTCTCCCTGCCCTCACTCCACCCACATGGACATGTCCCCTGGAGGTTACCCACCCTCCGGATGCCTCACTTCCCTTAAGGAACATTTGGCAAGTTAGGGCCATCTTCCTATTTTACAGTAAGGAAACAGGATCAAAGAATGGCAATTTGGTCATGATCATACAGCTGAGAGGTGGCAGAGGCCACATTCAAGCCTAGTCTTCCTGACCCCCAAGTCTTTACCATACACTTTCCTGCCAAGATGAAAACCCAGCTCTCTCCACCAGAGCCCACTCACACTGTTCCTTCATTCATTCATTCCTTATTGCCAGGTCCTGTTCTGGACCTGCCAGGAATACCACAGACATGGTCCCTGCCTGTTTTGAGCTGGACAGTCTGGTGCCCTAACCTAGGCACCAGAGAGACTAAAGTGGCAGGTACCTCACTCCAGGGTCCCCCAACACACTCCAGCAAGTAGCACCCACCGAAGCCCACCACAGGACTCACCAGGGAACGCTGATCATAGCTCATCCTGCCAAATGACATCATGCTGCTCTTTCGGGAATCCAGGGTCATCAACCCTGGGTCCGGCTGCAGCGAGAGGCGGGGAGCGGGGCCCATAGCACCAGCGGGACCCAAATGCCCACCCAGTGGAAGGCTGGGGTCCAGGTGCCCATTGGGGGTCATGGGGATTGGGCAGAGTTTGGAATCTGAAAGAGTAAGATGGAGACAGAGGGAGGGACAGATGGCAGACAGAACAAGAGCAAAGGAAGCCATGAGTAAAGAAAGAGATATGGACAAAACAGAAATGAAAAGCTCTTCTGGGGAGACGTCCTCCATCAGGAAGTCTTCTGGGTTGCGCCCCATCTCATGTGCCTGCCCTCCACCCTGCCTGCCAGGTTCCTTATGTATTCACAGCGCTCTTGCCGGCTGTGCTCAGGCCAGCCTCAAGCTTTACCCAGCAGGGACACCTTACTCCCATGCCTCCTGCAGGAAACAGGTAGAGACTGTCTGCCTGGATCACTGAGGCAGACACTGGGTTATGGGTTGAGACAGGCTTATCCTAAGTGGCCAAGTAGTGCCAGGCAGAACCAGAACCCAGGCCAAATTCTAAGGCCCCAAGGTAGGCTGGGGGTAGGCTCAAGTGGTAGAAACACTTGCCTAGCAAGTGTGAGGCCCAGAGTTCACACTCTAATATCACAAAAAAAGAAAAGAAAAAAAAAAAAGAAAGCAAACGAGTAAAGATTTAAAAAAAAACAAAAAAAAAGCCAGGTGTGGTGGCTCAAGCATGTAATACCAGCTACTCAGGAGGCAAAGATCAGGAAGATCACCATTCATATCAGCCCAGAAAAAAAGTTAGTGGGACCCTCATCTCAACAAACAAGCTAGGTGTGGTGGTGCACACCTAGCTGTCATCCAGCTACAAGGAAAGTCATGTAGGAGGAATGTGGTCTGAGCAAGCCCAGGCAAAAAAATGCAAGACCCTATCCAAAAAATAACTAAAACAAAAAGGGCTGGAGGCATGGTTCAAGTGGTAAAGCACCTGTGTCTAGCAAGTGTGAGGCCCTGAGTTCAAGTCCCAGTACCACCAAAAAGAAGAAGAAGAAGAAGAAAATCCATTATCTAACAGAGAGGCAACACTGTGAGAAGGGAAGACATGGGCTGCAGCTACCTCTGCTGCTGGAATCCAGTCGTAAAAAACCAACCACAGAGAACAAGTAGCCACTGAGCCCGGGCTTAGGGGGAAGCTGTGTCCTGTGCCCACCTGGGGTCTAGGGGAGGTTCCTAGACGATGCCAAGTGGAGGCCCGTTTACCTCCGATGCTGTCCAGGCCCTCCTGGAGCTTGTCAAACTCCTCCATGTTGGATGAACTCTGGTCCTCGTCGGAGTAGGAGCGATTGGCATCACCCTGGGGGATCAGCCCACATTGGAACACAGGTCAGCTCAGCCCTTTCCACCCCCAGCCCTTGAATTTTTAAATGGGGTTTCCACTCCCATTTTCCAGATGGGGAAACTAAGGCTCAGAAAAGGGACTTGAGAAGCTAATGAGACCTAGGCTTCGACCCCCATTTCCGTGGCTGAATTACCCTCTAAAACCTCAGAGAATGGAGGAGGAGGGGTCTGGAAACTCAGGTCTTGGGGGTTTTGGAATCTCAGAGATGTAGAAGCTAGCCCTTTACCCCTGAGAAGAGATGGGGATCCCAGATATGGCCTCTGTTTACATGCTTCCTGTGCTGGGAGGCTCACCACCTCACCTGCTAGAAGTTTGAGTTGCAACCTTCCCCCCCGTGCAGGCCCCCTCGCCCCTGCCCCATGTCCTGCACGTCCCATGAGGGTGCTTCCTCCATCGGGGCTGTGATCACCTCAGCCTGAAAGCCCTCCACCAGGATGGCCACCAGCAGGTTGAAAAGCACGTAGTTGCCAAAGGTCATGAGGGCAACAAAGTAGAGGGAGGCCCAGGGGGACGTGGAGGCCATGCCATTGTAGAGGACGACATTCCAATCTTCCTGAGTGAGGATCTGTTGGGGGAAACACTGACTAGTCCCGGGGTCTCCCCCAGCCCAGGTCTAGCCTCTGGGTCACCTCCATTGACAGGGAGGAGCTGGAGCCATCAACCTCAGTCCCTCCCAAGCCTCTGCCCAGGATGGCTTCCCCTGACACACACATGCGGCTGCCACTCACCTGGAACACTGTGACAATGGCCCACAGCAGGGAGTCAAAGTTCTTCCTGTCTGGCACTGTGTCTCCCGTGTCCGTGCGGAGGCTGAATTTGCAGCCAAAGATGTGCATGCCGAGAATGCTGGAGGAGGGAGGGAGGGAGGCAGTTCATGGGACTCACACACACTGACCTATCTTCTGCCCGCCCACCTGTTTCATTCTTAGTATGACCCAGTAAGATGGAGGGGGGGACAATGTTGGTTGGTCCCACTTTTCCCATTTTATAGAGGGGAACACTGAGGTTCTGGGTCCCAGAGCCATCGGGATTAAATGATGGAGCCAGGATTCACACCCAGATCCTGGTGGCTTTGTTCCTGGGATCCTCAACCAGCCACACTCCCTCAGGCTCCCTCACACTGCCCTGGCAGGCCACAGGTGTGGTCGCCAGGTTGGGGAGGGGCGGGCAGGCCTCACCTGAAGATGAAGATGAAGAGCATGAGCAGCATGCAGAAAGTGGCCACATTGTCCATGGTCTTCATGAGCACCACGAGCTGCCGCCGCAGCGCAGGCATGAAACGCACCAGCTTCAGCACCCGCAGCAGCCGGAAGGTGCGCAGCACCGACAGGCCGCCGTCCGCCTGCCCCACGATCTCCCAGATGCTGTACCCGGCAGGGGTGCAGGACACAGGGAGGCAGGAGGAGTCCGTGAGACGCCAGGAGGACAGAGAAGGAAGGAGAGGCCAGAGCAGAGCCTCTACTCATTCATTCGTTCATGCATCCAACCACTGATGCGTCCACAGCACCCCCTCAATCATGAACCCTGACCGCCCCGCTAGGAGGCATATGGCTAAAATCTAGGAAGGATGTCACTGTCCCCTTTTTGAGATTTCACCCTCGTTTTGATTATGAATATAAACAACAAGCCACAGAGAATTAGCAGTGCCTGTGGCTTTGTGGGCAATGGAAATAGCTGGTATCTTCCTGTCACGTGACAGTTGATACAGTTATTTCTGAGTATTTTTATGTACCTCCCTTCTTTTAAATGATGGTGGACTCAGACCCACTGTTACATCTTGCTATTTAATGCATTAATCCCGAAGCGCACATATGGCTACATCAACGGTTTTTAAATATTTGAAGAACTGCATTTGAGTGTAATTGGTTTCCTTCATCCTCTCTGGATGTTTTATGTACTGGCTGGGGTCGGTACATTGGCTCCCCCTCCCCTGCTGCAGGCGAATGGTGGGACGCTACCTGATGATGACGATAATGCTGTCGAAGATGTTGTAAGGGTTTCGCAGGTAGTCAAAGAGCCCGAAGGCGGCCAGCTTCAGGATCATCTCCAGGGCGAACATGCTGGTGAAGACCACGTTGCAGATCTCCAGGATGTTTGTCAGCTCCTCTGGCTGTAGGGACATGGGGTGGGGAAGGAGGAATCGTGACCCTGGCAGGTCCACATCCTTGCCAGCACTCAGATGTCTCCCTCTGCACAGTGACCCTGAGGACCTCTCAACTCTGCCACCTCAGTGTTCCATGATGTCCACTAGGGGTGGGACAACCCTCAGGGCTGACCTTCCGTGTACTTAGAAGTGATGCTGGTACTGCAGGCTGAAGGAGATACCCAGAACCCACTGTGCAGATGGTGCTGCCATCTCACACTGTGCCCGTGAAGGGAGGACTGAGACAGGGCACCAGCCATGCGACAGGCACAGTCCTACACACAGGAACCACCACAGTGACTGTCAGAGGAAGACATTGAGACGCAGAAGGTCAAGGAACTGCCCAAGGTCACCAGCCTCCTATTTGCCCCTGCAGTCACAAACCTCTCTCTGTTCCGGGAACTGTTTACCTCATGGTGTTAGCAGTAAATGGCATCTGAAAATGGCATCATCATCAGATCCCCGTATTTGAAACAGGCCACACTACCGGCCATGAGTTGGGCTGTGGGGTGTTTAAGCCTGGTTTGGGTATTAAGTGGCTCTGTGACCTTGGGCAATTTACTCCCCTGACCTCTGGCCTCTAAACCTTTCTTCTTTTGTCCATAAGAGCAGGTGGTTGAATGCTTGACGTCATTCATTCTAAGACCCTGGCTAAGGGTTATATGAGGTTCTAGCCCTTCTCGTCCCTTTGCAGCCCCTCTGGAAGCCTGTGGTGGACCTGGTTTGTGCTCACTGTGGTGCAGGTGGCTCCTGCCTGAATCCTGAATTCTGGAATGCAAACAGCCATTTGTTCTGCCCTGACCAAGTTCCCTGCCCTGAGTTCAATACCTAGCATGGGTACTGATCTTCAAACAACTTACAAGGCCACCCCTTGCCTTTCTGTTTTATAGGTGAGGAAACCAAGGCTGGATCACATGGACTGGCTTGCTCAGAGTCACCCAGTATGGATGACCCAGTATGGATGTAGCAGGGCTGGGCACTGATTCAAGTCAGACTCCAAGCTGCTGCCCTGTTACATGACACTGAAACCTCACCTGAACCTGCTCATTCACTTATTCTTTGTTCATTAATTCATTCACTCCTGCACACATCCCCCAGGTCTTCCCAGAGAAAGCCCTGGATGTGCTGCTACAGTGAAGACTCTCATGCAGTGCAAAGTCACTCTTGATGGTAACATCTCAGCAGACACCTAAAGAACAGAGCTGGTGACTGGGAAGCAGAGAAGAGTGTCCAGGCTGAGGTCCTAGCCAGAGTTAGAAGGTGGGAGAGCCAGAGACCACCATATTCAAGGCCATCTTCCATCAGACAGCACCACTCACCCCCATCCCTGCCCCTCCTAAGCAACGGGAGCTCCAAGGGCCTGACTTTGATTCCATGTGGCTTAAAAGGAGAAGAAGAAAAAAATGATCTTCCCACCTAGTGCCTGGGAAATCTAATAAAACTGCCCAGATAAAAGGAGAAAGGCCCATTTCAATCTGTAATTACATTTGATTCACAAATGGTCCCAAAAGGGGAGAGGGACCCTGAGAAGGGCCTCAGTGGGGAGGGCTTAGATGCTGCTGGGAGCCGCCAACTTCCCAGTCCACCAAACTACATCTGCGGAGATGGAAAAGGTGGATGCTGACAGTCCCTCCCGGTGGCCATGATGGCCATGGCCCAGCTCTGGGCTGCACACGCCTTGCACACACTCCTGTGATCAGTGCATAAGCCACCACTCTCCCCGAAAGGTCACTGCCCGCCTTCCTCTTCCCCCGCAGCAGATGTTTCTCCAGGCAGTGCACACCTGTTAATCTTTTCCTAGTGGACCATCCATCACTCTGAGAGCATTTCTCTGGGAGACAGACAGGCTGGGGAGAGGCAACAGATGAATACAGAAACAGCAAGTGAGAGGCCAGGAGGGCAGGTGCAAGAGGGATGGAGTCAAGATACAGAGAAATAGGCAGAGAGAGATGGACAGACAGACAAATATGAAAATGGGACACTAGAGGCAAAGGCAGGGTGTGGCGACTCAGTTACACAGAGAGAAAAACACACAAAAAAGGACCAAGATGATGACACAGTGGCACCACTGTAGGAGTCGGAAACACTGTCAGAAAGTGAGAGACACACAAAAAGAGAAGGCAGACCAGCCGACAGACAGATAATGAAGAAGCTTCTAGAGATGGCCAAGACCCACCCAGAGGAAGAACAGGTCCCAAGGGGCAGAAAACACAGGTTACACATGGGAGAGGAGAGGCTTGTCCCCACCTGATGCCAGGCTTGGTGGTCCCAGGCTGCTCAGGCTCAGGCCAATTCTGCAGGATAGATGTAAGGGTGGGCAGAGGTCTCTGAGCTGGCCCAGGATCCCCTCCAGCCCAGCCAGGCCCCATGACACTGCTGGTTAAGTTCCTCCTGAAGCAGGCGTGCTAAGCACCTCCCATGTGTCTTTTCAGCTTGTCCTGGAACAGCCCTCCATCCTTCCAGTTTTATAGTAGGAAACCCAAGTGACTATCAGGTCATAGCCAGGCAGTGGTGGAGCCAGATCCAGAACCCATGTTGCCTCCCTCTGGCCCAACCCCATCCCCGTGGCTCCGGGTCCCTTCACCTGCCCACTTTTCTAAAGAGGCTTCAGTTCAGCCAGACATGTCACTCCCCTGCTTATGAGCCCTCCATGGCTCCCCATAACCCTAAGATAAAGCTGGCCTCAAGGCCCCTTGTAGATGAACAGCTCTCCTGGCCTCCTGGGCTGCCTGCCCCACCTTTTGCACATATCCTTCTTAGGGGCTCAGGGTCCTTTGGGGGATACCTAACCTCCTGGTCCCTGTATCTGACTGTCTCACTGATGAATGTAGTCATCTCAGTACCTCTGCCTCCAGGAAGCCTTCTCTGTCTTCAGTCCATATTGGTGCCTCTCTTGGGCCCCCAGAGGACTGGAATGTCAGTCACTAAGCCAGCCCATCCTCCTCTTCCCAGAGTCATTCTAGCCCTGGATCAGCAGTGACTTGACAGAGGCAATAGAAGGGAGAATGAAGTGGGCTGTGAGCCACCCACTCACTTGGAGGCCTTCCCAGTACCCTGGGAGCCCAGGCCAGTGACAGCTCTACCCCAGGGAGGGGCCCTGCATTGTGTCCTGATGCCCATTTAGCCCAATCCCCTGTTTTCTGATCTTCACCTTGACCTTCCTCCAACTTTAGGGCCAGGCGAGGCTGCAGGTGGCCTTGCCCACCTTAGAAGCAGTGCAGTCATGGACCTGGCAGGGGTGCACCAGAAAAGGGAGAGCATTTTTTCTAAATAGAGCCAGAACTTGTCATTCAGGCCATCACCGCAGAGGTGGCCTATGGACAGGGGCATCTGGGAGCTTAGGAAGAAAAGAACTGCCCCTCATTCCCACCCCACCAGGTCCTGTGCTGTCCAGCTTTACTTGCCAGCTTGTCCATTCACTCTGCTGATATTCATTCCTTTAGAGAGCACCCTAGAGGCTGAGGCATGGCTCAAGTACAGACACCTGCCTAGCAAGTGCAAGGCCCTGGGTTCAAACCCCAATACTGTAGCAATCCTGAGAGTGTTCTGGAGCTGTGTCTTCCCCTAGTCCCTACCTCCAACACGACCATCCATAGCTGCCCTCTGCATCCTGCAGCCCAGGTCAACCAGCTGCCTGCCAAGTTATCTGGGAGAGCCATTCCACTTTGCTGAGTTTCAGTTTCATCCCAATGGGGTTGGGGTGCTCACCCAGCCTGCCCCCCCCAGGGCTGTGATGAAGGACCCCAACTGCCCAAACCAACCTGTTGGCCACAAAGTCCAGCCTGGGCTGGTCCAGACCTACCCTCCTCCCAAGCTATCCAGGGGGTAGTGGCTTGAGCTCCATCTGCTGCTTCATGAACCACATGTGGGCCCCTGCCTGACTGACTCCTCTTTCACCTGTCACCTCCTCTCAGGTAGGTCCATATAAGGAGGGCTGCCATGGCCATGAGGAATCTAGATGAGCAAGCTGCTCCTTGGTGAGGGCCCCCCGTTATTTGGACAGTAATAGCCACCCTAAAGGCCACAGCATCTGTAATTGAGCTCCCTATGACCAGAGAGGCTGGGGTGACCAGCTAGGACCTCACCTCCTGCTTCCTGCAGTGGCGCACAGAGCTCCCTTCAGACTTGGAGTGCAGGGTGCGGAGGGTGAGGTCCTGCGGCACCCACTTATCCCTCCTCCTCTCTCCCTGTCTCCCTGCACCCTTCAACCGGCCATCTTTCTCTCTGCGGGCGCCACCTCAGCAGGGGCTGCTCGAAATAAACTTGGGGGTGGATCAGTTCCCACCAAGTGATGTCTGGGAGCCGAGGGAGAAGAGCAAAAATACCAGCGGCCCTGCACAGAGCTCGGCCGAACAATGGTTGCCACTCCGAGCTGCTTTAAAAAGAATGTTTAAAAATGCTGCCTCCTCCTCACTTTTTCTTTAACTAATTAATTTTTGAAGCTCCAGACAGTGGATGGCAAACTCACACAGTGCTGGTGGCAGAAGGCTCGAACAAAAGACTCAGTCATGACTGAGTCACAAGCACCTACTATGCTCCAGAATCCTTAGTGCATTTGACCTTGCCAGTCCCCCTGGAGGGAAGGGTCCATGTGCAATCTACAGATGGGGACACCAGCTGGGGAGGCTCAACGATTCTCCCGAGGCCACCCTGCCAGTCAGCAGCAGAACCAGGGCTGAAACTCAGAGTGATGGGCGTGGCTTCTCTGGGCAGTGGCCTTCCAAGTGTGTGGGACAAGAGAGGATGACAGCTGCTTGGAAAGAGAGACACCAGGCTGCCTCAGAGCCTGGTACTTAGCTGGTACTCAATAAATGATAGTCCATCCCTAAGAGGCAGGGGGCACAAAGTCAGGTACCTGCTTCACAGGTGAGGAAATCAAGATGGACCCTACGCCTCCACTAGGCAGAGGACAACCCTGCTGTCCAGAAGCAAAAAGGCTCCATCAGATTCCGGTTACAAAACTTGCTCAGGCAGGACATAGCAGAAGGAGTGAGGGAGACCATGAGCAGGCTTGGGCAGGGACCATGGCCAGCCCCGAGGCTGAGCTGGAGGATCAAGAGGGAGTTGCCCCAGCCTTGCCTTGGAGGGATACGAGAAGACAGGGACCAGCAGTGAGCTGGCAAACTGGCCTCTGAGAAAACAGCCCCAACGTGTGCTATCTGCCAATTTCCATGGTGTAAAGACTTCCTCTATGGCCAACTTCAAGCTACCAACTGTGAACAACTGCTTGCAAAATTCCTGAGTGTGAGAAAATTGGCTCTCACCAGCTGATTCCATCAAGCCATGGCCAGGAACAGTGCCCAGCTCTGGCACAGTAGAGCTCAGACGTGCCAGCACCCTGCCGGCAGCTGCTCCCAGGAGGCCTTCCCCAGGAGCACTGACCCCCCTGGGCCTCTAGGGGAAGGTGTCTGGGCTGCCTGTCTCACCAGCTCCACCCCACAGACAGCCCTCCCACAGTTCTCCCCAGAGACCTTTTTAATTAAGCTAGAATGGCTGGCAAATCAGCAGCACCAACCGAGTGTCGGTGGCAACCCCAGGAGTCGCATTCAAGTAAATTGAATGGAGCTGGGCTTGATGAGCTAATGAACAGGGAAATGGCAGTGTGGCCCCCACCGGGCTCTGCACCAGTGATGCCAAGGGGCTGCAGAAACACAAACCCTGCCAGGTGTCTGTGTTGCCACAGGAGGAGATGGGGTCAAACCAGGCCCCTGGCAGCCTATAGGCCCTCCGATCAGAAATGACCCAACTGGGGGCGTTCCCCGCCCCCACCAGGCCAGGGCATAGAAGCCATCCCCCTGAGTGCAAGTAGACAGCAGAAGCCAGAAAATGACGTTTTTTCAAATGAGGCCAGGACTTGTCATCCAGACTGTCACCCCAGGGGTGACCTATACATCTGTACATCATAGGGGGAAGAAAACTGACCCCCCTCCCTCCCACTGCCATGAAGTCTTGTCCTGTCCAGATTCACTCTGCACACACCCTGAGCTGCTGTTCCTCTGACCATGGCCCTGAGGCCACAAGGAGGAATTAGCCCAGCTCCAGCCAAGGGCAAGGAGACACACAGATGGAGCAGCCCGGCCTGGGCATGGGCCTGGGTACCCACCCCCCTCCACCCCCGCACAGCCCAAGCCTGGCGCCCTGGCGGCCCCACACTGGCCTGCTCGTGGTGCTCGATCCCCATGCTCACGGTGTTGACCAGGATGGCCATCATTATGCCCCGGCTGAAGTACTTGCTGTCCACGATGCTCCTTAGCTTGGCTCGCGTCTCCCGCCACACGGCCCCGCACAGCCAAGCTGCCCCAGCCACCTGTTCCTCCTCGTCCTCCTTCGCCAGCTCTGAGGAGGCCCCGTCCTCACTGCTCCGGGGCTCATCTCCATCAGCTTCAGCCTCACCAAAGCCTGAGCCTGAGCCCTCCTGGCCAGAGTCAGTGCTGCCCAGGCCTGAGGACCGCCGGCCTGCCTCGTGTTGGCAGTGTGGGCAGGTGGTAGGGTCGGAGGCCAGCATGGCAGAGATGGGCTGCACCAGCGTGTGGGGAGTTGGGTCCAGGGGGCTGTGTCGTGGGCACAGCTCTGAAAAGCAAACATTGCAGCATTACTGCCCACACCAGGCCCCAGCCTACCCTGGTAGGGTCCCACAGGGTCTGCCTAGAACAAGCCAGTGCTGCTTGGGTGGGGGGTCTAATGTCTCCTGACGAAATGGCTTCCTTTCTCCAGACTTCAGCCCTGTGCAGATGCAGGGACAGAGGCTACGGGGAACCAGGGGGACGGGGGTGGGGAGCAGGGGTCTGTGTTGATATGTGACAGGCCCTGCACAGGCTGGCACACACATCCATCCTAACTGATCTTCACATCTGCTTTTGGCACTGGGCCAGTTACTCATCAGGCCCCTTGAGGCCCCCATCATGGAGCATGGGGACTGGATGTGATTGTGACAGAGCCACAAGTCCACTCCTTGTGGGGAGTGGACGCCCCTTAGAGGAAGCCAAAGTGGTCATGACCTTCCTCAGCTCTCCCGCCTGTGTGCAGGCTCACTTCCCAGAGAAGGGAGGTGGCACGGAGCCCTGAGCAGGACTAGGCTCTCACTCTGGAAGCCCCAGGATTTCCCTCCACACTAGTGAGAGTCAAGATAGGGACCACTGGAGGCCAGGGTTTTTGTCCCCTTCGCTGCGTGGGAATCACTGAGAAGCTAGGATGGCCTCGGGCTCCAGTGCTGAGATCTGCCAAGCAGTGCACAGAGGCATCAGAGGAGTCTGTCTGGCTGACTTGGCTTCTTTATGTTTTTCTGAATTCTCCTCAAATAAACACATTTTGTGTGTGTAAGCAAAAAACGTAACTTGAAAGGGAAAGCAAAGTTTGTACTGCCGATGCTTCTAAGCTTGCCTCCAAATGCCTCCCAAGCCCTAGACAGGTCCTGGGATTCATTCACCACTCCAGCGCCCAGGGCAGGCTACCAGAAGCCCATGGCCATCCCTTGGCCTCTGGATGTGAGGAAAGGCAGCATGAAGGCCCAAGGTGGGGACAAGGCCTCCCTCTGACTTCCCTCCACCCAAGTTCCAGGGAGACAGGGTAGGTGGCAACAAGAGGCTCTTCTAAGTAAATACTTTCCCTCAAGTCCTCCAGGAAGGTGGTGCCAGCCTTGTGCAGACTCTGACTCCCATATCCACCTGCTGAACCAACAACCCACAGGTCACCTGGAGTCTCCTCCAAGGCCACACCTGGACAGCTGGCATCTGAGGATGATGGGTGGAAGCTCTGAGGAGGAACTTTTCTGCTGGCCTCCCAGACTCTCAGAATGAGAAAGTTGGGAGCACAGAGCTTTCCAGACAGTTCCTGGGGCACTAAACCCCTGTAGCTCACAATCACATGCTGAAATCCACCCTACCAAAGCAGTGGAGGCCTGCAGAGGAGCCACGGTGTCAAAGGTCACACAGGGAACAGAGTGCCTTCCTTTGCAGCTGCTCCAGGAAAAAGTCCCTGTGATTGCCACCTTCCTCAGCACCAACTAGGAGAAAACAGACTGGACCTGGGCCACCTCTGGTGGCCCTTGCTGGCCTTCTCCCTTGCTGGTCTCCTTTCAAGGCTAAGTGCATTTGCAGCTGGAGCAGACACTCAGGAAAGCTCCAGCACCTCTGAAATTCCACATGATGGAGTTTTGTCACTGACACACTGTGCCACCTTCAGTGACTCCCTCATCTCTTCAGCCCCTACACTTCCCATCTGAAAATTGGGGACGATCTGTCCAGCCTTGCCTCTTCTCAGGACTGCTTCCTGAGAAGCAGGACACGCACCCTTCCCAAGCTAAACGTGGAACTTGCAGAAACAACCCAGTCACACTTCGGCATGAGAAATGGGAGGGGCAGACCACGAGGTGCCACATATCCCAAGGCCACAGCCCTCTGTGCCAGGCATGCTGGAAGAGAGGGTGGCAGCAGGAGCCACAGCAGAGCCACGTGGGCTGTGGTGAGGAAGCACGATGGTCTCTCAAGACCGAGGAGAGATCTTTCAAGTGTGGCTCCCAAGGGCAGATGGGAAGTGAATTGCTTCAGGACAACGGAGTCCCCCAGCCAAAGACGGGTGAGGTCTGAGCATCCAAATCATAAAAGAAACAGCTCGGACCCAAAAGAAGACCTGGGAACCCGAGCCTGGGAACCTGCCCAGCAGATGTGACTCATCTGCAACAGTGCCATTCTGAGTCCCCAGCCCCAGGGCCACTTACTGCAATGCCTGGACTCCTTGGCATGGGGCCCTGGCTTGGCTGGGGCCGGTGCCCCCTGGCGCCGGCTCCGGAAGGCCTGATAGAGGCCCAGGGCACGGCGCTTGGCCTTGCGCAAGATGTGGCAAATGTATTGGAAGATCTCCTCGTAGCAGTCGCCGGGCTCGGCATAGCTGGCCACTGTGCTGGAGGACAGGTAGCGCTGCCGCTGCTCCAGCATCAGCCGGTGCTCCCGCTGCTTGGTCTCTGAGAACTGGGTCGCTATGACAACGAGGCACAGGTTGATCATGAAGAAGGAGCCCACCTGTGACCAATGGGAGAAGAGGACAGTGTTGGGGGTGAGGGACAGTGGGGAGGAAGGCAGAGGGAAGAAGAAGATGGAGAAAGTCAAGGAGACCAGGGGACGGAGATGGAGGCCAAGGCAGAAATGAGAGAGGAGAAGGGAAAAATGAGAAACACAAAACAGAGGAAAGAAGACACAGGAGGGGGACAGATAGCAAGAGACAGCCAGGCAGCCAGAGATGCAGAGAGAGAGAGAGAGAGAGAGAGAGAGATGGACAGAGAGAGAGAGGCACTTAGAGAAGACAGAATACAGGGGTGAGGAAGGGTGTGAGAGATGCAGAGTGGGGGAATGGAGACAGACAGGGGAGCAGGGGAGGGTGGAGGAGCCCAGAGACACAGAGGCACAGACACAGATGGGAACAGAAAAGATGGCTGAGGCTCTGCTCCAGGGTAAGGAGCAGCCCAGGCGGTTCCCCAGGCCCTACTGGAGCTGCCTCCTAGCCAGGCCTCAATTCAGGTCTGAGGCCCTGGGCCTGCCACCATTCCACTTGGGTCATTAGCACTGAGGCTAAGGAGAGCAGCCACAACCGCTCAGGCCACTCAGGCCCTGAGTCCTACTCTGTGGCCTGGACTTTGGCTACGTGTACATGCTTGGAGAGGGAGGTAGAGAGAGGTAACCCCCATTTGTGCTAAGGTCCAGCCCCCTTGGGTCCCCCACCTACCTCTCCATGCTGCCTGCAGCCACCTCAGGCAGAAGGGACCTTTCCACAGCAGGGCACATTTCTTGAGCACTTACTGAGTACCCAGGGTATGCAGGCTTTCCACTCTGGCTCCTCTAACTCTCCCCGGAGCCCATGAGCTAGGTGCTGTCACTATCCCCATCTCTTGTAGATCTGGGGGACCTAAGGAGCCTGCCCAAGGTCATGTGCTGAGTCTACAACTCCAGGTCCCACCCTTAACTCCACCAGGAAGAGCAGACCAGGAAGTCCCTAGGGGCTTTCTGTAGCCCTAGGGAATTTGGGGCTCCTCTAGCAATCCCAGTGGCTTGTGGCTCCCTTTTACAAGATTCTGACCTGCAGAGCCTCTGTGAGCCACCCCTGCCTGGAAGGTTCTTCCCCTGGTATGCGCCCCTAGCCTCTAAGGTTCAGTTTTGGCACTGCCTCCTCTGGGAAGCCTCCCGTTTCCTGTCCACCTCTAAGTGGATGAGGGGCCTCTTCTGGGCCCCCTCAGCCTCTAGGGCTTCCTTCTATCATGGCGCCTAAGGCAATGTGTGGTCCCTGTCTGCTGCCAGTCCTCTCCACCAGACTGTGAGCAGCGTGGGCTTTCCTGAACGTTCTGATGAATGAGCAAACAGATGAATGGATAGCAATGCTGAACAAAACCTAGGATCCTCTCCCTTTTACCTGGGATGTCACTTTGTAGGCCCAAGGCCCCAGCCTCCTAAGCAAGCATTGGAGCTATGCCAATCACAGGTGTAGCTCAGGTCACCTGCCAGCTTGTCCTGATCCCCCCCATTCAAGGTCCAACCAGCTCAACCTGGGGCACTGCCCCAGGAGCCCAAGCATGCCCACGCCACTGCCAGAAGCTGGAGATCCAGGCCTTGATGCTGCAGGGAAAAAGACAACTCTCCCCTGTACGGTGAATCACCTTGACATTTGGGGATTATGCCATGGCTGAAACTGCAGTCAGGCATGACAAGGAGGATGAGCTTGCTCTGGGGACACTGTGGGAGGAGGATGCAGGAGGGGCAGGCCTGGATGGGCAGATAGAGCCCCACCTCCTTAAAGACAGGAGCCCCTCAGAGAATTCCAGGGAGCTCCACCAGGGTGGACCTCCCTGTCTTCCCATCTCAGGAGAAGCCCTTGAGAAGCTCCATTCTGGGGCTGGAGCCCAGGGTAAGGTCATGAAAAGAATGTGATCCTCGTGCTTTGGGCAGAGAAAGACAAGCAGAAGAAACAGGGTAGACTTAAATGCCCAGAAATGAGAAATGAAGGCAATCGAAGGTGATGGATGCTTCCAGCAGCTGCCCTGAAGAGCCCCTTCCATCACTGGCTGGTTGGCCACGTTTAAAAACAGCCCCTCCTGCTATCTCCCAGCCGGCTGGCATGGCCCTGAGGGTTCCCTGGGGACTCCCAAAGACCCTCCCCTCCTCCAGTCCCCAGGTCCTGAGCGTTCCCTGAGCCCCGGCTCCTGGCACTTACTATGATAAGCAGGATAAAGTAGATGAAGTTGTAGAAGGAGTGAGCATCCATCACATAGTACATGATCTCCACCCAGCCTTCCAGAGTGATCACCTGCAGCCAGCACAGGGACAGAGCAGAGAGCCTGAGACGCTGGCCCCAAGAGAGGCAGGCAGCCAGGGGGCACCCTAGACTGAGGCCCTACTGTGTGCCAGGACTTGACACACAGCACCGGGAGGACTTCCTATGAGGGCTGCAGGGGCAGCTGTCTTCGTACCCACAGTAAAGATGAGAAAACTGAGGTTCTGAGAGGCCAGCACACTTGCCCAATGTCACACCACCAGACAGGAAAGGAGCCCAGACTCAAACCCCAGTCCATCTCCCTCCAGAGCCTGCTGGCTTCATGGCAACACTCCCAGGGTGGGGGAGAGTCTCAGGGGTCAGGCTCTGGCTAACTGAGCCACTCGCCCATCTGAACCCCAACTGCTCTTCTTCAATACACTGGATGACAGAGGCCCTGGCAGAGAAGAGGGCATACTGGACGTGGCTGCTGTGACTCCCCCTCCCCCACAAGCTCCCTGGACTCCTTTCCATGAGGGAAACGAAGCAGCCTGGGGAAGGACAGACGCTGGGGCCTCCCCGGCATGGCTTCCCATCTACTTCTGGCAAAGGGGCAGAACAGGAGCCCTGAGCCACACTACCTCTTGGCCCTGGGCTCCTGTCCTCTGGAGGCTCCTGTCCTCTGGAGGCTCCTGTCCTCTGGAGGCAGTGGGTGCATGGCCTTCACTGAGTGCTCACTGCACATGGCTGACTCCTCTGCTTATTCTCAGTTTTATTCTTCTCAGCCATCCAAGGCAAGGGGACCGTTATTATACTGATAAAGATGAGGAAAGCAGGCTAGGTGTGGTGCCTCATGCCTGTAATCCTAGCTACTCTGGAAGCCTAGATAGGAGGATCACAGTCCAGGCCAGCCCAGCCATATGAACACGAGACCCTATCTCAAAAATAACTACAGCAAAAAAAGTGCTAGGGGCATGACTCAAGTTGCAGAGTGACTGCCTAACACGCATAGGGCCATAAGCTCAAATCCCAGTACAACCGAAAAAAAAGATGAGGAAAGTGAGGCTCGGAGAGGTCAAGTGATAGCCTCAAGGTCCTACAGCCGCAGCTCCCTGCGCTGCAGAGTGCAAGCGGTGATGGAGCCCTTTGCACATAGTAAGGTCAATGTCGTGTTGTGCATGTCTGTGCATACGTGTGCTCGGTCACAGAGTGAAAGGTGTTTCCCACGGACTCCAGGCAGGCTGAGTGCCTCGGAGCCCCTGCACCCAGGCCTGGCTGCCAGGTGGGCCTGTCCCAAGCCTGAGTGGCCTCACCTGGAAGATGACGATCCAGGCGTAACCGATGTTGTCAAAGTTGATGGCCCCCTTGTGGGGGTTGGCGCTGCCTGTGCGGCACACATTGTAGTAGCGATTCCAGTTGACACACAGGCCGCTGGCGTTGAGGTCCTGGCGCCCTGCCCCAAAGTCATAGACGTCGTCCTTGGACAAGCAGCATTCTCGGCCCTGCTCCTTGAGTGGAGGGATCTCGTGGCAGCCCATGATACCATTGTCCCCTGACAGGGAGCAGATGAAGGGCATCTCATCGTCCTCCTCTGGCTGGTAGTAGGGGGGCAGAGCCACATCCCCTTGTCTGTCCACAGACGAGAGCAGGGAAAAGGGGAAGGGGAGGGGTCACCACCAGGAGGGCCAGGATAGGCGAGGCCATGCTGTGTCAGGACTGGTTCATTGCTGATCCAGGCCTGGGCACACACTGTCCCCACCTCTGCTATGGTCATGAAAGCCCCTACAGGCCCACTGTAAGCTCCTTCTAGGGTCTCCTCCCCCGGGAAGCCTTCCCTGGAGGAGCATCCCCAGGCTCACTCAGGGCTGAGCAGAGCTCCCTGGGGCTGCCCTGTGCCTAAGCATTCACTCCTCCATCTCTCTCCTGGATGGACACACCCAGCTCCCAGGCCTCATGACTTATTTGGTTCACACAGAGCAGGTACTTAACAAGCAAGTGCTAGATATCACTAATCCAGGCAGAGAAGGGTTAGACCCTCCGCCTGTCTACCCCTTCCCAGCCGTGTGACCAGGGGCCTTCCTACCAGCCTCCCTCTGGCACTTTCTGCCAGCCTCATCCCCATTATCCCAGAGAAGACCGGGCAGCTGCACCTGGATCCTGCCTGCAACCAGGCATCAGCTAGATGGCCAGCCTCCCACACACAGCCAGCCCCCAGAGCTCACCACCCAGCCCTCCTTCCACTGCAGCTCAGCCCAGCCCACCCCTGTTCCTCCCCTGGGATTACCCACAGCCTTCCCTATTTCCAGCCTCCACTTGGGCCTTCTCCCTCCTCAGTTCAGAGTGCAGACTCTGACACCTGACTGCCCAGGTCCAAATCCCTGCTCTGCAACTCACATGCTGTTTGCTGTCAGGCAAGTGACCTCAACTCTCTGAGCTAAATGTAGACTGAGGATGCTAACATACTTCCCTCTCCGGATGCTGCAAAGACAACTGAATTAACCCTGCTGAGTGTAGAGCACGGCACTTACTGAACACCCGTAAACACCAGCTGCCTTGTCTTCGGAGCCCACCCTGCCATTCCATGAGTGCTTATTAAAGTGCTGCTGTGAATCTACCCTGCGCGGGCACTGAGACGTCAGTGGGCTCACCCACCCCTGCGGCTCTGGGCACCACCTCAGCACCTGCCCAGCAAACGAACAATGTCACCCCTGTAGAGCTCCCCCAGCCAGCAACGGCACATTCACTCTGAGCTGTAAGTGGAAACACTCAATGGTTCACGCTTACTCGGTCTTCCTGGGGACAACCATTGCTCTTAGGCCTTATGTGCTAGAATACTCTCACAACAACCCTATGGTAGGGAGACTGAGGCACAGAGATTTTCTGCCACTTGCTCCCAAGGTCACATGACTAACAAAAGGCAGAAGCAGAACCTGACCTGGAGGGCTAGGCTCCATGCTCCCAACCCCACACAGTCCTGCAGTGATGGGGACCTCTGCCAGGAACAGCCCCCAGCCCCACTCCACCCCCACCTGCCAGGAGGCAGGCTCAGCTCCAGGGCCTTCTCCTGCCCCCCACCCCTGTGCTGACCTCAGGCCACTCAGCTCCATCTGTGCTCGTGTCCCCTCTCTGCTGGCCACATGCTCCCCCAGGACTGAGGCCAAGATGAAGGGTTTTCTTATCCCTGAGGTCCAGCCCAGGGCCTCGCTCCTGGAGGTGGTCGGTGAGTGTTTGTTATGACACTGTATCCTGACACACACACAGTCAGGGGGAGGCTGGATGCAGGCCAGAGCCTTGCTGTGTGGCCCTGGGTGAGTCCCCTCCTTCCCTAGGCCTTAGTCCCCAGCAGGTTGGATGGAGGCCCAAGTGTTTCGTCCAGAGAAGGGTCCTATACTGCCCAGCCCGCAGCTCTGCCTGTTCCACAGGGCCCTGCTTGCCACAGGCTGGAGTTATCTTGAGAAAGTACCAGGCAAGGGGCCAAGCCTGGACAGCATGCAAAGAGGGCAGTGGTGGGGTCCCTGGGTGCACGTGAACTTTGCCTCTGCCACTGACCCTGCCTGGTTCCCCCAGTCCTGAGCTGCAATCTTTTTAGAGTCCAGCTGCCTGGGTTCCAGAACAAACCCTGCTGCCACTTTGTGAACCCTGGTTACCATCTTCCCTGCTCCCCACCCTTCCAGGTCTTTAGAGTTGGGGTCTAAGGAGTTGCAGACTTGGAAAGAACTTGGCCTTACTCTCCACCCAGACCGGGACCTTACCAACCTTCTTCGTGCAACATCAGCTGTCCCCTATCCCAGAGGGGCCTGTAAGACAAGGCCACCTGCCCTGACAGTGTGAAACCCAGATTTCAGGAGGGAGCGCTGGGTCACCAGTTCATGTCAGCTGTGCCTTGCCCCTAAGGGTCTCTTGCTCTTTTGACATTTATTCACTTTTAGACTTCCCCTTCCCCAGTGGGATGGGCAGAAGCCTGTTCTTCTTTAACACTGGGGCCCAGGCATGACTGCATTCCTCATCTCCTCTCATCACAGGCAGGAGAGACTGAAACCTCCTCACAGGAGCCATCACAGAAGCAGACAGCCAGGAACCAGGATGCAGAATCTCTAACTGCAAGGGCAGAAAAAGCCCCAGTCCTAGGTCCCATCTTGCCCCTGGGTGGTAAATACATTCACTCATTCATTCCCTCCCTCCTTCATTTCCTCTCTCATTCATTCCCTCTCTCCCTTACTCACTCATTCCCTCATCCACTCCTGTCATTCACTCATTCCCTCCCTCATTCATTCCCTCACTTATTCATTTGACAATTAGTGGGGAGCCCCTTTCCAAACCCTGTTCCAGGACCTGTAAAAAGAGTGAGGAACAGCTGCTCTGGTCTGGTGGGGAATGGATATTCTAGTGCTCCCACCCCCCACTGAGGACCAAGCACCCTGGTCCTCAAGCTGACAGGTGAAAGTGTGGGAAGAGAAAGGCTATGAAGGAAGTCTGGCAGGATGATATGGTCATGTGTTCTGGGGGTGGGGGAGTGAGGAAGAGTGAGGGAAGGCCACCAGCAGGAGGTGAGCCCAAAGGCTAAGACAGGTTCAGCCCCAGATGGCACAGGAACGATCCACCTGGGACTAAGAGGCCCGGATGCTCCTTGAACCCCCAACGCTGAGAGCGCATACCTGGTGCTGGACCAGGAGAAGCAGCACTCCCCTCTTCCCTACCTCAGTACCCAGGCCCTGCTCAGGACTGGCTTCCTCTGAGTATTGACATAAGTAAAATCCCCCAACTCCACAGGACCTTTATTCCCAAGGGTGCCCCTTTTCTGGCCTGTCCAGCTACCCTGCTGTTCCCCCACAGCACTGGGCAGGTGGGCCAGCTCCTATCTACCCTTTACCCCCTGTTCTACCACCCTGTCCCTGACCTTTCAGACCCAGAGAGAGGAAATTTGGCGGCCCCCCTACAGTGTCCCCACACCCTTCAGAGGGTCCCAGGTCCAGAAGCAGCACCCAGGAGCCCCCAGTCTGGTGATCGCCAAGGTTGGGAGCCCCCCCACAGCTCCACAAAGGTCACCAGCAGTCCCTTGGACATGTGTTAGGGAGAACGCACACAGTGCTTTTGTTTCCTACTCCCTGGGGCCCGGCACACAGTAGGAACACACTGAGGCATCCGAAAATGGAAGCACACTTATGTCCAAACACGCAGTGTCTTTGGCCATCCCTCCCCAGGCGCACCCCAGCTCCTGCCTCAGGCCCCGTGGGCCGAGCTCACACTCAGAGCTCAGAGACATACGCACAGAAACGGCTGCACTGTCACCAGAGAGCCATGTTCTGCATCTGCGTTTGAGGTTTCCATTGTCATTCTCCCTAGTGACAGCATCACTTCCACCTGCATCCTGACCTCCCTCTCCCCTCCCACTCCACCTCCCTCAATTGGCTGCTTTGGCCTTGCAGTTCTGATTTCCAGTTAACAAGCAAGTTATAACAGTGTGTCAGGGGCCCAGCATGGTGACTCATGCCTGTAATCTCAGCTAATTGAGATGAGAAGATGGGGAGCACAGTTTGAGGCCAGCCTGGGCAAAAACGCAGGACCATACCTGAAAAATAACTGAAGTTAAAAAAAAGGACAGGGGACAGGATGGGGCATGGCTCAAGTGGTAGAGCACCTGCCTAGCAATTATTTAAAAAACCCAAAGCATGTCAGTCCCCAGGAGCGGTGGGGGCAGCCACACTCACATGGTGAAGTTCTCCTCTAGGAAGCAGCGGTTACGCAGCAGGCCTGCCCACAGTTGCACACCTATGATGCCAAAGATGAAGAAGACAAAGAAGCAAAGCAGAAGGACGTTCCCCAGCATGGGCAGTGTGTCAAGGAGCAGGTTCACCAGGATCCGCATACCTGGAGGGGAAGGACAGAGGGACCATCAGACAGGGAGCAGGGGTCCCAGAGAGGACAGAGGGACTTGTCAGAGTGATGAGGATACACAGTCAGGGGCTCCTTGCTGCTTCCAGTCTCCTGGTGGCTCCCAGGCCCTCTCCTCCATGTTTTCCCTTCTGCCCAGGAAGCCAAAGAAATGGCTCTGGTCCCTACCACACTTACAGGAGATTGTGGGAGAATGAACAGATGTTTAAGTCGACGCTCTTATATTCCCAGTGCTCTCCTGAGGACTTTTTCTTTCTTCCTAACAACTCTGTAACCCTGATAACATCTCTATTTTATACAGGAGGCAGGAGGAGGTTAGAAGAACGGAAGTTATTTGCCCAGGTTCACACAGCTAAGCAGGACCTGGATTTAAATCAGGTGACCTGACACCAAGTCTAGCCCTCCTTCCTCAACACATCCTTTTTTTTTTGGGGGGGGGGTGGCACTGGGATTCGAACTCAGGGCCTCACTCTTGCTAGGCAGGCACTCTTACCATTTAAGCCACTTTGCTAGCTTGTCCTCAACCCATTCTTTTACCCATGCTGTTCCCTCTTTCCACAATGCCCTGGAAAACTATTCAACCACCATAGCTCTGTTAAATCTCTATAAAGCTTTCGAGGACCTTTCTCATCTTATCCCAGATAGAGTTTGTCCCTCACTCTTTTGCCCCAGGCAATCTCAGCACCTCTGACCTCGCCTAAGCTGCCAGGTCAGCCACACAGGTTGTATACCGCACAACTCAGGAGACTGCATTTGCATCAACATGCAGCCTTCTAGCCTGAAGGTGGAGTTGTCTGTTTACCCTCCTGTCTCAACTACTGGTCTGTAAGTTCTGTGTCTAAGTCACCTCGGTGTTCCCAGAACTCAGCAGGTCCTGGCCCAGGGAGACAGGCTCAGTCAGCATTTGTTGACTAACTGCTCGTGAACAAATGATGCAATTATAAGCCAAGGGAATTGAGTGAAAGACTGAAGAGGGGAGGATGGAAGGAGGGTGACAAGTAGAATAGCAGTCATGTCCCAATTTTTATTTATGCCATGGGTGATGCCAAGGTGGTTATCAACGAGGTAATTATTTCAGATTTACATCACAAACTCTGCGTGGAGTGATTTCCAATCAATAATTAATGCCCACCCCCATCTTCCCACCCCACTAAACTAGGTCAGCCTCCTCCCAGGAGAGGCAACGGGGCTCCTGGCAGGCGGCGTCATCCAACTGAGTATAGCCGGGGCCAGGGCTCAATGCCCCTCTCCCTATATCCCCAAACAGCGGAGCAAGGAGCCTGGGGTGGAGGGGCAAGAAAATAGAACAGGGCCCCACATGACCCACCAAAATGGTTTCTGGTGTCTCATTCATTTGTTCTCATATTCATTTATCAAACACTCAGTCAATGTCTGCTGTCTGCCAGGCACAGTGCTGAGCGCACAGGGAATCCAGAGATGAACAAGACCTATCTTGTACCTCTCAGAGCTCACAGCCTAGCAGCAGGTGGACAGGGGACCACAGTGTGGAGCAAAAGGGCCGTGCCTGAGGACACATCTGCGGAGAGGCTGATGTTGAAACCCACCACCCTTCTGCTGGATGTGCAGAGCCTGCCAAAGGGTCTGTGGGACCATGGCACAGACAAGGGGCAAGCATGCAGAGTGTATGTGGAGACCCTGACTGGAGATCACTTCAGAGGGGGGCTAAGGAATGGGGGCTCAGTGTAGCTGGGGAGGCCTGTGTCATCAGCAGACTTCTAAGCAGGCAGAGCCCTTGACCAGCTCTGGCTCTGGGCTCGTGCAGCAGGGGCAGTCTGGGAGGCCAGGTACAGGCAGCAGACCGGCTAGTGTGCACTGAGGCTGGCAGCAGCTGGAGAGGAGGCTGGACCAGAAACGCCTGGAGGGGGCTGCTCGCACAGCCCGAATCCGGCTGCTCCATGACTGCCTGGTACTCCCAAGGGCAGCCTTTGTTGCATTTCCCTCTTCGCCAGGATATTGGAATTCCGAGAGGCTCCTGAAATCCCGCCCGGCTGACTTCCCTGAATGGCAGTCCCTTCCCTCTCCTCCTGTCTTCCCCTGCCCAGCAGCCCCAGCTCCCAACAGGCCCTCCCAGGGCCACAGAGCCAAGGCATAATTAGTTAATTAGGAACTTAGAGGGGTTCATCGCATCTGTGCCTGGAAAAGGGGGCCACAGGATTAGGGAGTCAGGGAGGAGCCCCAAGGAGACTTCTTCTATATCCTTGGTTAAGTCATTAGTCAAGACAGGTCAGAAGGTGACACGCTGCTCTCAGTCCCCAAACATGAGGAGGTGAAGTGAGGGGAGAGGAGAGAGAAAGTGAAACAGAGAGACAGAGACAATGGGAGACAAATAACAGAGACAGAGAGGAGAGCTGGAGAGAGACACAGAGAGCAGATAAAGCAGAGGAAAGACCAGGCGGATGGACGCGTGCATGGATACACAGGGGAGAGACAGAGATAGAATGTGGACAAGCGACCTGCCTTCAAGTCCCATCTGCCTCAAACCACCCTTTCCACCTCATTTCCCTCTACCCTCCCCAGCCACCCTGCCTCCCAGATTCCTGGATTCCCACCGTAGCTGGTCCCAAGACCTTCCTGCCTCTCCAAGGCCATCCCTCCTTCTTTAGCGTGGGCCACGAGCCAGGCAGGCCCTGATAGGTTACAGGTGACCTCAAGACTATGGTGGCTGATCCCTAGCCAAGAAGAGGAAGAGGAGCCAAGGCATCTGATGCAGCCCCCATCCCAGGGAGCATCCAGTGGAGCACAAACCGGGACAGAAAATGTAGGCCCCAGTAGTCAGGGCTGGGTGGTCATGAGGCAAAACTTGCCCTCTCTGGGCCCCAGTGGCCTCATCTATAGAAGGGGACAGTGGGTTCTGTTCAGCCAGCCTCTCGGGAGCCTCATGGGACCAGGACACCTTTGATGGAAAAGCCCCTGTATTCAGTTGCTCATCCCATGTGGAAAGCCCAAATCCAGCCCACCCCAGCTCACAGGCCCCCCACTCTGTCCTCCACACCTGAACTCATGGCTCCAGCCAGGCCCGCTGGCTCTCCCTACTCCCCTCCCCCACCCCCAGGCCTCCCTCAGTGAGTACTGACCGGTGCTGCCCAGGGCTGTCCCTGGTGAAGCCCAGAGGAGACAGGCTCCACCCCATGCCCTCACTGTCATAGCTGCCTGGCCAAACTCTGGGCCCACCAGGTCTTGTCCACTGGGCCCTCTATCCATCTCCTCTGTGTCCTGCACAGCCCAGCCCACCCACGGCTCACCACCATTGTGATAAACCAGAAGATGGTGGGGCTGAGCCCAGATGACAACGTCAGTGGAGTGGGGAACCAGGGTGGATTCTGGAGTCATCCTGATGTCGAGCCAAGGGACGGGATGAGGGGCGTGATGGCAAAGAGCAGGAGACACTGCCAAGGTTTGGGACTTAAGCAGCCAAAGCCATGCGATGACCAGCAGGGCAGACAGGGCTCCATCTGGACATGCAGGGTTTGGGGGGCCTTGAGTCCATCCTTCAGCAGTCACTTCACTGGGGTTCAGATCTTGGGGCCTGGGGTTCAGTAGAGGAGGATCTGATGTGGGTGTCGAATGACAGGGGTGATATCAGGGTAGGTGGGGGTGCAGCTGCTCCGCCAGACCAGGACATCTGCTCTAAAGGAACCCGTGCAGCAGTTGGGCAAGGGAACCCTCAATGGCAGAAAAGGGGTGCATCTTCCCTCCAGATTTAGGGTGCTCTCCACAGACAGAAGCTGTCAGCCCATATTAGCTTGGCCATTCAGCCAAGACAGCTGAAGTAGAAATCACCAGGCATATGCCATCCTCCACCAGGGGCACAGCCTGTGGCCAGGGGAGGGGAGACAGAGAAGTTGGGGGGTGCCGAGGCTGCTGGTCTGGCTGGGTTAGTGGAGGGTGCTGAGCAGTCGGGAGAGGCCGTCTGCTATTTCTGCCATTGCCTGTGCCAACTAATCAGGGGCACAGTGGGTGCCGGGGAGGCCCAGCCAGGCAGCAGACGGACCAGGCAGCCGAGGTCACAGCTGCTGGCACCAGCCCAGTCAGGGAGGGAGGGGCCTGTGGGCTTGTGGGGAGGCCTCAGTACCTGCCTGGGAGGCCTTGGCCCTCCCTACAGAGGTTAAGTGCCCTCTGTCACTGAAAGTCCCCTCACTCATGATGGCCCAAGCAACCCTTACTCATCCTCCAGTCCCCTTCCTGTCCCCCTTCTCTGTGAGACCTCCTCAGAGCATGTGACCCTGGCCCTGCTGTTGCACTCCTGTGCCCCACGACCTGTGGCTCCAGGTTCCAGGGTTAGCCTGCAGGGAATGCTGTAGCTGGATTGTCTCTTGACCCCAAACCTGGACCCAGGTGGGACTATTTCAGGTGAATGAATGAATGAATGAGTCAATCAACCAACCAACCAATGCACAGTGCCCCACTCCCTGGTCCTGTCTAGGATCACTACTGACCTAGAGAACAGAACTGAGAACTTGACCCTGGGCCGGCTGAAATCACTCTGGCCACCTCCAAGCACTTTTTCCTAATCCCGCCGCTCCTATTCTCCTGACTCCCAGTGGAGATACTGGGCCAGATGTTCTCCCACCCTTCTTCTGGGAAGGCAGCAGCCCTGGGAAGCAGGAGTGGGAAGGCTCAACTTCATCAGCTTTTCCTTTCCCTCCCTCCCTCCCTCTTCTTGCCCTGAGGGCTTCAAGGCCTTCCTCCCTCAGGATGAGAGGGAGCCTCTGCAGGGGCCAAGGATTCCCACATGTGACCAGGGCAGGGTTAGCCCCACAGGCTTCCTTCCGCTACCTGTTACCTTGCCCTGCACACGAGGCTCTGCACAGAGCTCTGCATGCCCGATGCCATTTCATCCTTACAGCTGGATGGAAATTGACACATTAACTCTGCTTTCTACTGGAGGGGTGGAGGACAGAGAGGATGTGGCTCGCTGGGGTCTCATGACAGGTGGGTGGGACTAGAACCTGAGGTTGACAGTGCAGAGTGACCTGCAGTTCCTGGCATACAGCTGGGGCCTCCCCAACAGCACTGTCAGCATTTGTCCCCATCCATGGGTACTGGGAGCACCTCCTCTAACTCGGCATGGCCCCAGCCCAGCCCAGGAGTTCTGCCCAGAGGTGGGTGTGCTAAGCCAGAGACTGAGCCTGGGCAGGGTTCAGCTCCTTACTGGCTGCCAGGAGCTCTCTAGGAGCCTCCCACCCCTCCACAGCCTGGACTGGGAGTGTGATAGCTAGATGCAGATGTGGACCAACTCTGGCCTTGACACTGACTGCCCTAGCTCCTAGCTAGAGGAAGAGCACTTTTCATAGTAAAAACATTCGACCAACAGGCAGCATGAGGGATGGACAGGGTTGGTGCCAGGAGGGGCACACTTAGAGCTATTCCTGCCCCCTTGTGCCCAGGCCCAGAGAGGGGCAGCAATTGATGAAAAGTCACCCAGTGGGGAAAGACAGTTCATGGAAGGTGAGGGCTGGGACAGAAACTACAGGGGAGGGCTGACTCCCAGGTCCCTCACCCATCCCAGACAAAACTGAGAATCATGCATCGAATCCAGCCCCTCTCCTGCTCTGTGCACATAGGGAAACAGAGGCCCAGATCACACAAGCAGGCTTATGGCAGAGCTGAGACCAGAACTTGCATCTCCTGACCTCCAGCTGAGTCTTCCCAGATGGTGTCTGCAGCCTCCAGTGGATTTCTTAAATGGCAGGCAACCCACTCCCCATAGCTCCTTAATTAATACCCCAGAATTTGACTGCGTAGTACCTGCTCTCTAGTGTGCCACCTAGTGGTAAAATTGAAAGCTGCAGGCTCCTGTTGAAAAGAACATGTCCCAGGGCAGACAGACTTGGCTGTGAAGGTGAAGGTGGGACTTGGGTGCTTCTGGGAAGTTCATTAAAAAAAAGTCTGGTGCCAGTGGCTCGCGCCTGTAATCCTCGCTACTCAGGAGGCAGCGATCAGGAGGATCGTGGTTCAAAGCCAGCCCAGCCAAACAGTTCGAGAGACCCTATCTCGAGAATACCCAATACAAAAAAGGGCTGGTGGAGTGGCTCAAGTGGTACAGCGCCCGCCTAGCAAGCAGGAGGCCCTGAGTTCAAACCCCAGTACCACCAAAAGAAAAGAGGCAACTGAAGAATGGTGGCTTTGCATGGAATCACAGCACTTGAGAGGCTGTGTCTCAAAGATCCAAAATAAATCAATAAAATGTTAAAAATAAATAGAGACAATCACAAACCTCTTCAGGAAGCATTTGTGGGAGCCCATCCCCCCCAACTCATTCCCTGATGACTCCCGCAGAGGACAGGGCACCCCGGGACAGGACAAAGCAACCTCTCCTACACCTCAGAGATCCACGTGCTCTAACAGTCTCTGCTCCTGGGAATTCATTACTAATAAATATGATTTATCTTAGGGTCCCTTTCAGTGGAACACGCATGGTTTCCCTGGGTTAGCACTCCCAGCCTCTCCCCCAGCACTGGGCTCTGAGAAATGACTGTCCATGAAACGGGAGAGCCTCCCAGCGGAGCCATTAGCAGGAGGAGGGCTGAGGAAGGGCGCAGTGCCTGTGGCTTTCTGGGCACAGAGACTCTGTAATTGGAGCCTCCAGGAATGCGGCAACAGGGCTCTCGGGGACATGGACCTTCTCCAGAGGGCGGGCGGGCGGGCAGGCTGGTGTTGGGTACAGGGAGTGATCGCCACAGTCCCACAGCCATTTAATGAGCTCAGCACACAGCAGGAGAGGAAGCAGGGGGCTGAGGAAGGAAAGGAGCAGCAGAGGCCCCACACACATTCCCATGAGCGACACACCCTCATGCGTGTGCACACGCCCTCATGTGTGCTCACACCCTCATGCGTGCACACCCTGCACCTGCACACACACCTTCACACATACATGTGCCCTCGTGTGCACACACACCCTCACACACACAAGCCCTCATGTAAGCTCAGACCTTCATGTGTGCACACCCCTCACAGGCGCACACACACCCTTACGTGTGCACCCACCGTGAGTGCATGTGAGTCCACATATGGATGCTCACACCCACACACAGATGTACAGACACCAGCCAGCAAGAGTGACACCTACATCCTGTGTGTCCATCCTGATCCCCTTAGACCTTCTCCCACTCTCAAATGACGCATCACCTTGCCGTTCCCATGCCAGACCCTGAGACCTGCAGGGAGGTTTAGCATGCGAGGTCACATACAAACCCTCATGTACAGTCTCCTGCTGTGTGCACAACACCCCAGCAAGGTAACAGGGCCTGAGGGCTCTGTGGCCAGGGAGCATGGCAGCAGCTGAATGTGCCTGCCTCCACCTTCCCCCAGAACAGAAATGGGGAGTAATGAGGCCATGGCCCCTCCTCTGCATTCTCACTGCTGAGATCCCTCCCACCACCCAGTTGCCCAAGCCAGATGCTTGGTGACTCTCGGGACCTGGGCTGGGTCCAGGAGCACCTCCTCCATTCCTCTGCCCCTGTCCAGCCCAGGCCATTGCTCATACACATTACGAGATCCATCCTCTGTGTCCACCTCACCCTCACCCTTCTGTCGGGGGCATTTCTAAAACACTTCCCTCCTAACATCTTCCATCTGCCATTTTCCTCAGGCAGGCAAGACCATCCATACCTGGTCCTGTCCCCTCCAGCCTCAGCACCCCCTCTCACCCCACACCTGGCCCCTGTAGCAGCCAGCACCTAGGCTCCCTTACCACTTCTCCCTGGCTCTCACCTCTCCATACCTTCCGGCCTTCCTGAGACAACCCCAGGCCCTGTGGTGCTCCATTCAGACTCCAACTTCTCAGGGAAGCCTCCGAAACAGCCCCAATCCCCTCCCTGCCCCAAGCACCACCCTCCCGCTGCCTGGCACCTGGGTCTGAGCATTCGCAGCTCTATGGCCCCACACCTGACGGCTACTCAATGCATTTGAGTGGGCACATTTCACATGTGTTTGGGGCCGCCTTCTGGCCAGTAGGCACAGTTCTGGGCACAGTTCTGGGCCTGTTTCCCAGGAAAGACGGGTGTGAGGGGGAAGAACACTGTTAGACACTCGGACTCCAGTTTGGTCCCTGATACTGACCTGCTGTGTGACCCTGGCTGTCTCTGGGCTGGTTTCCTTATCTGTTAATGGTGTAAAGCCAGTTTTGAACTAAGGAATTGTTATGGTTTGGATATGTTCCTGACTGGTGGATCCAGTCATTGAGAGGTGACTAGATCGTAAGGGCTCTGCCCTCGTCAATAGATTAATCCCTTGACAGAGTTACAATATGATAGTGTTATCGGGAGGTGGTGGGAAATAGGAAATGGAGCCTAGTTGGAAGAAGTAAGTCACTGGGGGGCATGCCCTTGGAAGATGTGACTGTCCCCAGTCTCTTCTTCAGTGCCTCTCTCTGCTTCCTGGCTGTCATGAGATGAGCAACACTGCTCCACCATGCCCCTCTGCTCTGATGCTCTGCCTCCTCATGGCCCAGAAACAACAGAACCAGGAGACCAGACAGTGGAGCCTCTGAAACCATGAGCCAAAATAAATCTTTTCTTTTAAGTTGTCTATGTCGGGCATTTTGTCATAGCAATAGAAAACTGACCAACTCAGGGATCTTTAAGGAGTCCCTTCTCATGGATGGATGAATAGATGAATAGATGGACAGGTGGACGGATGGATGGATGGATAGATAGATGGGTAGATGGGTGAATGTGTGGATGGGTGGATGGACAGGTGGGTGGGTAGATGAATGGACAGATGGATGGGTGGCAAATGGGTGGATAAGAAGATAGATGGATAGCTGGATGGGTAGATGGATAGATGGACAGGTGAATGGTTGGACAGATGAGTGGATAGGTACATGGGTGGGTAAATGGATGGATGGATTGATAAATGGATGGATGGGTGAGTGGATGGATGGGTAGGTGGATGGATGGATGGATGGATGGATGGGTGCATGGGTGAATGGATGGATTGACAGAGTTCAAGTTCTACTTGTGTCTGTCAACACAAATGAGGGGGTCAGGATTCATGGCCCCAGCAATGTTTCACATGCCCACCCTCAAAACTAAGTAACCTCTTTTCATATATGAGCCCATCTCAACAGCCTGTGAAGACTACTCCCAAGGAAACTTTTATTCCTGAACAGGCTCCCCAGGGTACTGAAATCCAAGTTGTTTGGGGGCTTCAGAGGCATTATGTCCACCTTCCAGCAGCTAAGGACCAAAACGCTGGTCCACGAGTTCTGTGGGAACACTGCATCAGTTCGTGCACTGCGAGCACTGGATGGAGCTGGCTAGGTGTGTCAGGAATGGGCAGGCAGGGAGGGCCAACTCACTGGGCACACGGTTGATGGCTTTGAGAGGCCTCAGGACACGCACAGTGCGGATGGCTGACAGGTTGATGTTCTGAAGGTCCAGGGAGTACTCGACCATCCTGAGGAGAAAGGGGAGAGAGTGAAAGAGGTTCAGGAGACACTCAGGACCATCCAGCCCACCAGTGCCTACCTGGATGGGAAAGTCAGAAAAGGAATCAGAATCCTGGCTATGCGTAACAGTGTGGGTCTTGGCTGTTTCCCTGGGCCACTGGCTCCTGCTCTGTAAGTTGGGGCTGGTGACAGCTGCCCCAGACTGTCGTGAGGGCTCCACAGATGTGGTGAGGAGCAGAGAGAGTAGAAAGAACAGAGATATTGGACCCACTGCAAAGCCAGCTCTGTGCCAGGTGGCCTCTGTTCTTTAGGCCTATCTGACTGACCCATGACCAGCGTTGGCTCCAGCTTCTAGAACTTATCTCCCAGCATGGATGCTCCCCAACCCTGCCAGGCCATCTGACTAGACCCACTCCCCAGAGGAGGAGCTGAGGATCGCTGGCTGATCCAGGTGGGGACTGGATGGCAGTCACATCAGGTGCAGTACCACAAAGGCCTCGCTGCAGCTGAGGGTCTGAATGGGAGCCCCTTCTCCTCAGGAGCCTGTGAAGTCAGAGGCCAGATTTGCAGATGAGAAGACAAGGCTCAGAGAGGTGATTTCACAGACCCTGGGCCGCCCAGTGAAAAGGTGGAGGCTCAAGCCAGGAGTTCCACCAGGTCTGACCTGCCTCACGCCAAGCGGCATCTCAGGGGCATGGCAGGTGTGCTGTACTTTGTAGGGTCGTAGAGGGACCCGACCAGCCCACCTCCAGCCTTGAGCTTACTGTGCTTCCCCAACCCAGGGCCTTTGTCCACATTGTCCTTTCTGCCTGGAGGGCCCTCCCCATCTCTGTCCCCACAAACTTGCTCATGCTTGACAGTTCCCTGGAGTTCTGAAAGCTTCTCCACACTGAGTCCACAGGGAACTGGGTCAATCCCAGTGCTCTGAACCCAAAAATGTCTTGGCCCCAGCCCCATACTCAGGGAGACTCAAAGGCAAAGACAGTCTTCACCACACCCCACACCATATCCACAGCCCACCAGCTCTGTAGCTCTGTGGAGGCACTCACCTCTTCCAAGATGTCCTCCCAGATCTCCCATGAGGCAGATCTCTGGGGACCATCCCTGGCTTCCTGTACTTCTATCTGCACCTATGGTCCCTCCCCACTGAAAGACAGGCCCCTGTAGGCCTGACCCCAGGCCCTCCCCACCCCCACAGCAGCTCCACCTGTCACTAGTATCAGGGGGAAATGAAGGCCTTCCTGCTCACAGACTGCTACTCCCTCCCGCTGCTTAAAGAGTAATTGAGTGAAAGCCGCTCACCTCACATGCCTCCGCTTCCCCCTCCTGCACAGGCTCCACTCTGTGTGCACAACCCCCACATACACACCTGCACACCACCTTCTGCAGGCACACACACTCCTTGCACAACCTCACACACACGCACTCCTGCTCCAACCCAAATCAAATGGGGATGGGGGTGGCCCAAAAAGTGACAGAGCCTGGAACTAGAGACAGAGACCTGGGGGGGAGGACAGAAAAAGGGAACGGGCGAGGAGTGGGAGAGAGGCAGGGGCAGTGGCCAGCAGAGAGCAAGGGCAGAGGGTGCCCTGAGCAGACAGTGAGAGATGGGGCCGCGTGAGGATTCCACGCGTGGGTGAGCCAAACCATCATTCCCATCTTTTAGAGAGAGCTCTTCAACCAGCTGGGAGATGCGTGTGATGGAGGTGCTGCGGGGGCTGCACACGTGGACACACACAGGCATTCACTCTGACGTGTGCACACATACCCTGGGCCTGGGGAGCCCCTTTCCTGCTCCGGCAGGTCCCATCAGCCCCTCCCCACTGCGCCCCACCCACCAAAGGCCCCTCTTCCTGCTGCCAGGTTCTCTGGATCCTGCCACAGGGGTGGCAGCAGCCCTGGTGAGAGCTGAGCCCTCAGGCTCTGTGCACTTCACTGGGGTGCAGGAGGTAGGGTCCCTGCCAGGCAGGCCACCATGGAATGGGCCCCAGGACCTAGAGGACACACTGCCCAGCCTGTCCAAGGCCTGTTCCCAGTCCCATGAAGTAAGAGGAAGCTCAAAGTTCAGTGGATGACTGCAGACGGAAAAGCAAGCACTTTCTGAGAGCTCACTGTACCATCCACTGTTCTAATGGTTTCCTGGTGTGGACCCATTTAACGTGTCCACATCCAAGTGTGGCACCTGCCTCCACCCCTCTTCATTGGGCCTGGGATCAGGACAGAAACCCGTCTATAAGCCACATCCAGACTCCCCAAGAGAGCCCTCAGGATGGCCTCCTGCCTGTCCTGACCCCTCTCTCCACCCTGCCATACAGGCTCCAGGTCCCTCCTGGGGAACCGTGTACACTGCCTGACACTCGTCTTTAGCTAAATGTGGGAACCAGGCACAGCCCTGCCCCAGGACAGGCTGGGGGTGAACATGCCCTGTGTGAGAAATCTGTCCTCTTGTCACCACAGTCGGGGCGGCAGGAAAAGACACCTCAGGACCGTGGTGACTGATGTCATCGAGGCCCATGTTGCCTGGTTTAGTAAACTCTGGGGTTGGAATACCTCCCAGACCCCAGCCTCACTGTGGGAGGCTGACTCACAGTGTTTTGGCCACGTTCGTAGTAGCTCTCCAGTCCTGGAGAGGAACTGAGGCAGCCACCACCTGACAGTGCACTGGAAACAACCAAAGCCTCAGACTCTAGGGGCTCACGGGGTCCATGTGGTACTGGTGTAGAGCGACACATTAGCCCAGCCCTTTCCCTTCACCCCTAACTAACCCTCCAGATCTTCGGGTGAGAACACACTTTCCACAACCTGTTGCAAAAATTCCCCTGAAGCCCCATCTGCTGCAGCCCTTGGAATCCCCAGGGAAATTCCTTGAAGAATTTAGTGTCCAGATCTTAATTCTGAGCTTCCTGGCAGTCAAGTCAAAAGGGAAAATATGATATTATCAAGTTCTTAGCAACATGAAGGATCCTGACACTGTGGGTTCCTTCTAGGGAATCCATTTGCCTAAATATTTCTCCTAGGTCTTAACTCTCTACACTTCACAACCCTATTGGGGTGTTCTGTACAGAACATCTGGGGGAGCAGGAGAGTTTACACATGCATTCGGTTTAAAAAAAAAAAGAAGAGGAAGAAGAAGAAACACATAGTAGGTACACAGTGAAAAGGTCAGTAGCTCACATTGAGGGGAAGAGGACAGGAAGAGGGACATAGGACAAGGACAAGAAGAGACGGGGAAGCCCTTGGCTGGATGTCTCTGCCCTGAGAACTCACTGTCCTGTCCCAACCTGGGACAGCTGCTGCAGCTCCACCATTCCTGTCCCAGACCGCCTCACCATCCCTCTCTCCTGACAGCTGCGCCAGCCTCCTGCCTGTTCTGCCTCCTGCTTCCTCCTTCCCCAGCCCATCCACAGTCAGCAGAAATTTTCTAAAACAGATCAAGCTGTCACTCCCCTCCTTGAAACCCTCCCTGCATAGTTCCCTACTGCCCTCGGAACAAGGTCCAAGCCCCTGGCTACAGCCTTCAAGGCCTTCCACAGTCTGTCCTCTATCCATCTTCCCCGATCCCTGCTCCTACTTGGCTCACCCTAGTGCCAAGCCAAGCCCACCAGGCACTCCAAGCACAACCCACTCTCCAGGGCACATTGCCCTTTTTCCTCACTCTCAGCCTTCCTTCAGGGCCACCTCCTCCAGGAAGCCTCTTCTCACCCCACCCTGCACCATGGGCTTCCTCCACACTCTGTTCACACCTCCTGGCTGGTGTGGGTTCCCCTCAACACAGACCGAGCCAAGGACAGGGAACAATCCTTTACTTGGGAGGTGATTCCAGAAGCGTGGGGAAGGAGGAGGAGGGAGAAAGCCAAATAAGGGCTATCCTCAACCAGGTCACTACAATTGTGAACAGTGCGGGCGTGATCACATCCTGGAAGTCCTGAGAATTGGACCAGCAGGGCTGGGGGTGGGTCTCTGTGGTTGCTTGGCAGGTGTGAGACACTGGGTTCCATCCCCAGCATCAGAGAAAAAAAGAAAACAAAAGAATTAGACCAGTATTGGGTGGAAGCTGGGGTGACTTCCACTGGCTAGAGAGAGGTGGGGAAAATCACCCTTGACCAGCTGAGGGCACAGGTGAGAAGCTGCCAGAATGGGGGTACCTTCCAAGGACAGGACATACCTGCACAGGTGTGGAGACATGGGACAGGCTCCAATAACACCTGCCAGGACAGTGGCCCCAAGATGCTATGATACCAGACATGACCATCTCCTCCTCAGACCTTCATACCCTGGTGATGCCACCCAACAGGCACTCAGGGAACACACCTAGCATGAATAACACCTCCCACTTTGTGCCCAAGGTCACCTGTGATGGAGAAAGCTATCTCCTTCCTTCCTCCTCCTCCCACCCTGACGATGGTGTGGCCCTAGCCCCCACCTTCACTCCAAAGACAGCAAGGTGAGGAAAAGGCCATTCAGTGGATGAATGACCACCACGATGACTTCCCTCAGGCCCCAAGTAAGACACCAAGAGTGAGAAATTAATACCTAATTACACAGCTACTTATCACGCAGCTTCGGTGCTGAAAGCCTAAAAAAAAATCAACAAATCCCCCACTACCTCCTGCTAGCTCCCAAGTGCCTAATTAGGTAAGTAATTTTCCTTTAAAGTGAGCACTTCCATCTTGGAACCACCCCAGGAGGAGAGGGGCTGAACTCAGATTCTGGCTGTCTTCCTGGAGAGGGCTCTATATGGCCAGGCTGGGGTGAGGACCGTGCCAGGAGCAGGCTGGGAGGATGAAGTGAGTTCTTCAGACCACCCTCCCCCTGTTCCTGCAAAAGAACTCCCTCTCTCACTCCTGGCTCCTAGGAAAGGCCCAGGCCCAGTGAAGGATGGGAACACTCGGCCACAATGACTGACTCAGGATGGGCATGTGGCCCCAGGTAGACCCCAGGCAGTCCAGTCCTTCTGCTGGGACTGCAAGGAAAGATGTCTTCCCTTGTTGCATGGCTGCCTAGAAAC